ATAGAGGGGCCTCTTTACGGGACTCTACCAGGGCACCCCTTGCTCGCCCACCTTCATGATAACCGTCAGCGCGCCACCAATTCCCAGGTCGTCAGCAGTGATAGCGTCGCCCGCGCGGCTGGTGCCGATGACCATGCGGCCGAGCCTCTCGCGGAGGTCGTCGAGCGACGTGGTGAGCGCGAGGACGGCCATGATCTCGCTCGCCACGCTGATGTCGAACCCCGTCTGCCGCGTCAGTCCCCGCTCCTCATGGCCCTGGCCAATGGTGATCCCCCTCAGAAACCTGTGTCGGGAGGGATGCAGGAATAGAATAGCTGTTTTGTCATGCCTCTCACAACTCGCCACGCTAGTGGGAACCAGAAACCTGCGCCGGACGGGAGGCGGAAGTGGGTTCCTTGTTGGCTGCACGTTGCATGGGATCAGCACACCGGTGGGGATTTTGCTGCTCGTGCTTCCCAGTCAGCATCCTCGCAGCCCGTCATCCTCGCCTCCTATCAACATGTCGGAAGGTGCAGCGACTCACTCAGACTATCCCCGGGCCTCCCGCAGACACGCATCACTGCCACCCTACAAGTGCCCGTCACTCATGCAAGCACCTAACCCATCTCCGTCATGCACACAGAAGTCATCATGCACCTAGCATTGACATCCATCACCCTCCATACCCACCCTTGACACCCATCACCCGTCGCACCTGTCATTGATGTCCATCACGCGGCGCCACGTGATCTTCTCCGGGTCGATATCCAGCCGCACAAACTTCCGCACCTCATCTTCAGTCAGCTCCGCGGGGTCGCTCTTGTCGATCCCCAGCTTCTTCAGCCGCCGGAACATGACGGGCGAGAACCGCCGCTTGCCCTCCTTGTCCGCCGGGCACAGCCGGTTCAGCAGCCCCTTGTCGGACTGCGCGGCTTCGTGGAAGATTCGGGTGTCGATGGCGGCGGCGAGGAGGTTGTTGGCTGCGGTGATGGCGTGGATGTCGCCAGTGAGATGGAGATTAAAGTCCTCCATTGGAATCACCTGGCATGCAGCAGGATAGGTTGAGACTCACAGCTTGAGAAGGGGATGAGGTTCATCGTGGCAGCTTCTAAGAACTTGGTTAATTTAATCGCTTCCGTCGAACGTGCAAATGCTTGTTGATCATTGTCAGCAACAACTTGTGCATCTCAATCCTGTGTTGAATCCAAGGTTCAACCCAGGAGGTTTTCTCACCTGGCTGTACCCCCCTCCAGCTGCTCCTCCCTTGATGCCGAAGGTGGGTCCCATGCTCGGCTGGCGGATGCACGCAATACACTGCACACATGAAGCAATCAGGCCGAACGGATAGACCAGAAACATTTTCATGTTATTCAGTTTCGACCTCCCTCAAGGTGGACGTTTCTTTACAAGACAGAAATCTATTTAGTGCTTCAGTGTCAAATTTCACGAAGTTAATCCAGCATCTGTGAGTGTATCCCTCACCAAACGAGCTATTTCGTCACTCACCGGCTTGTCTAGGTGAGCTCCCAGGGCCTGCGCGAGCCCAATGGTGGTGGTGGATTTGCCTTCTCCAAGAGGAGTTGGAGAAATTCCCGCAACCAGCACATAATATCCAGACTTAGAGTCCTTCAACCGGTCCTTCACGGACAAGCAAACCTGAAAAATGCCGACATAAGATGGACATCAACAAAGTGAATAGTCAGTGACAGAGAACAGCCGGCGATGCAGTGCGATTACGGCAGAATTACGGAATGTAGGTCTTTAGTAGAAGTGGTTCGCTTGCCTTGGCCTTGAGATTCCCGTAGAGCTCGTATTCAGACGGCTGCAGACCGACCGCCTTGGCAATCTCAACTATCGGCAGCGGCTCTACTGACTGAGCAATGACAATGTCAGCCGGCACAGGGTCCTTCACTTGCAGCTTGTGAGCAGTTGCAGTGGTCGCCATTGGATTCAGATTCCTGATTTCGAACTAATGCCTCGCCTTTCGCGATGAACCACGAACGATAATGATGTTGACTGGGAATACAGGCTTCTAAACACTGATGCAAAATGCTACTGCGGATTTGTTTTAGTGAACTGGGAAATCTCAAATGCCTGGATCAGTCTAAAATGGTTTCAGAAAGCTGGAAGTGAATGGGCTGCTTTCTGAGACGAGTGATGACTGATCATCTTCTGGCATTCTTCCCTGAACAAATTGCTGGTGACACGCATCTCCGCTCCCTCGGAGTTGCCTTGTTGGACTGAACGGGTGTGACTGACGTTGGATCATCCCTGACAGTCAACAAGAAAGCTCAACTGATTGCATTGCTGGCCGTTCGATGAGCTAATTGTAGCGCTCTGACGTTCCTCCTGGCGCGCGAACCCCTGATTGGATGGGTCGAATTCACATGTCAAAGAAAGTCTGCCAGATTGTGCGAAGATTTGGGGGCGAAGATCATATTGGGGCCGAACATTAGCAGGGAGGTGTCCAAATTAGGGCCGGATAGCCGAACCTGGAACTTTTGGAGCTAATAACCGACACTTCCATGCTCGCGTAAGTGATTTCACTTGTCATAGGTTCTGACTATCCCGCGCGTCGAAACTGATGGAGAGTAAACTTCACATTTTATGTCGATATAACTCAGTATTTTCCACTCATTTGCGTACCAAAACTAGACGACGCTACCGGGAACTGTTAGGGCAGAGCAGAAAAACTACAACCCCTAGCGAACCTGGACGCATTTTCGGGAGGATCAACCCTAAACACGGGAACCCGCCTGGAATTTAGGGTTGATGCCTCCCCGAGTCGCATCCATTTCCGATTGGGTTATATTTTTTTTGTCAGCTAAAATGATGGTTTTGTTGTGGAAAACAATCATGTACTTCTGTTCTAAATAATATAAACAAGACGAAACCACCCCCAGAGGGTACGACGTGAGCTTCGTAATAGGCGGCGATCATAATCCAAACCACAACATTGAACAAATAAAGTCGCAATTTAGTAATTTCCTCTAAAGCTTGGTTCGGAACCTCGGCCCAGCCACCTGGGCAGCCCCGGGGTCATATCTAACGGTTGGGATTAACCCGGCCCTAATTCGGTCAATCTCCTGCGAATGTTCGGCCCCAGTTTGATCTTTTCCCAAGATTTGGGGTGCCCATTCATGCGGATTTCTAGCTCGTCGTGGCAGGTGAGTGACTAGGATAGCCATTTTGCTGTTGTGGCTTCTCCAGGTGTTCCGCCACGTCATCAATCCAGTCTGGTCAGCAAAATTAACCTCAATAAATGTGGGTTCGTTACCATTTCAGTATAGATTCAAAAGTTTCGACGAACTTGTATTTCGACCATTCCAATGGTCATTTCGGCAATCTCGAGGTCTGAAGCATCACCAAATTGTCCAACTGTCAGGCATCAATAGCGCTGAGCAGCACATCAGCAGCTCTGCTGCAGGCAGCAGCCTCACAGCAGGAACAATGCGGTTCCTGGCATAGCATCCACCGCAGCGGCCGATGATCACCCTTCGCCCTTCGGGGCGTTCCCTTCCTTTCCTCCTCTTCCAGGCTCGCTTTTCCGTCTCCAGATTCGCCACCGCTTCTCTCCTCGCCGATCCGTCGCATGTTGTCGCCGGTAACTTTCGCAATCGCCATCCATCCGTCGCACCAGCATCGCTCGTGCCGCGAGTAACATCTTCATCCTCGTTTTCCGCAATTTCCCGCCAAGCATCCTTAAGTCAGCTACAATTCCGCACGAGCTGGACTTCAGTGCTCCTCAATCCACCGCTTGTTAGAGCATTCCACTCATCAGTACCTGACAGTCAATCCAGTAACAGGCAAATGGATGTCGACCCGCGAGCCAATAAGGTTGATCCACGTGGCTACGAGGCTGCTCTAGCAGCGCTCTCTGGTTTAATTAATCAGCGGAAGCGCGCGGATGGGTCGAACTGGGGAGATGCCTTCGCTCTCATGCGCTCATACGTTAAGGTATAGTCTAGTGGTGCTCTTAGCTAAGGTTGCTCTGCAAAGTCGGGGGAAATAACTACTCTACAAGTGACTTTCTCATGTCCAGTTACTCTCAGCTTAGAACGCACCAGCTACTAACGACACCAGATTGGTGGTGGGTCATTCCTGAGTTAAAAATGGTTTTTGCAAGGCTATTTCGACATGATGTGACAGCCTGTTTCCATTCCAGTAATCTGTTAGTTTGTGTAGTAACATTCCTGCCATCAGTTGTGATCCTTGCTTGTATTGTCGGAATGTTGACCCTCCTGTTATATGTGACTGTAACCACTGTTGTTTCTTGTTGTCAGGTCCTGGATTTGGAAGGACCAATTGACCAGCTCAGCATCATCCACGTGGCAGGCACGAAAGGCAAGGCAAGAAACCACCATTGTGACATGGCACAGCATCGCAGCATGATTCAAATGACATGGCACAGCATGATTCACATGACATGGCACAGCATGATTCACATGACATGGCGCAGCATGATTCACATGACATGGCACAGCATGATTTGTATGACATGGCACAGCATGATTCAAATGACATGGCACAGCTTGATTCAAATGACATGGCACAGCACGATTCAAATGACATGGCACAGCATGACTCCAATGCGCGCTCCTCTCTCCCTTCCCTCTCCTCTCTCGTTCCCTCATCTCTCGCACATCTCCACTTGTTTGACAGAACTCCACATGCGCCATGGCGGAGAGCATGCTGAGGGTTAGTGGCCTCTCTCGTTTCCTCCTCTCTCCCACGCCTCCCCCTACGCAACAGGGGTCCACATGCGCCATGGCGGAGAGCATGCTGAAGCTGAAGGCCAGACGCCTCTTCATGGGTCGCCAATTGTGCTCCTTCCATCTTTCTCCCTTTCACCCGTTCCCTCATCTCAATTACCCCTCCTCCTCCCACCAGGGGTCCACATGCGCCATGGAGGAGAGCATGCTGAGGGCCAGCGGGCACACCACCATGGGACTGAGATTCTGTTCCTTTTCTTCATCACTTTCTCCTGTCTCCTCTCATTCATTTATCTCTCTCCCCCACAGGGCTCCACGTGCGCCATGGCGGAGAGCATGCTGAGGGCCAGCGGGCACACCACGGGGCTCTTCACCTCGCCCCACCTCGTGGACGTCAGGGAGCGGTTCCGCCTCAACGGGTCAGTGGTGCAGGGACTGCTGAAGGGGGGGGTGGGTTCCGCCTCAGCGGGTGAGTGGTGTTCCGTCTTAATGGGTGAGTGCTGAAAATGGGAGAGGTGAAGGATGCAGGAGCTTCCCGCCAGCTAGTAACCTCAAGCTCAAATTGGTGTGTCACGCTTACGCAGCTCACGCTTCTCTGCTTTCCCTGCCCGGCCCTCGCCAATCCTCTCATCATTGTTCATCCTACAGGGAGATGGTGCCGGTTGATACGTTTCTGCAGCACTTCTGGTGGTGCTACGACCGCTGCAAGGTGCGAAACAGGTGCAAGCTGCAAGGCAGTTACACTCTCTCATTCCCATCGCCACACTTTTCATCGTCTCCCGTCTCGATGCTAGCCCATATTCGCATCCCCAACCCCCTTTGCCTCATACTCATGAGTGCCCCATTCGTCCCTCATTCCCCCTGCCCCTCACATTCCCCCTATTCCATTCCCCCAACCCTCCAGGAAGCAGCGTCCTCTCCCTCATCCCCCATCCCCATGCCAGCCTACTTCCGCTTCCTCACTCTCCTCGCCCTACGTATCTTCACACACACTCAGGCAAGCCTGACTTTTGAGTCGACTCAAAAGTCACTTCCGCTTCCTCACTCTCCTCGCCCTACGTATCTTCACACACACTCAGGCAAGCCTGTTTCTCTCTTAGGTAATTCAACCTTAGACATGCTGCAATAGCTCCTTCCTCGCTCACGCTGCTCACCCTGTGCATCGTCTCCCACACTTTTGAGGCGCCTCAAAAGTCGCACACACAGGTGAGCCTTTTTCCCTCTCACCTCACCCTCAGACTTGCTGCAATAGCTCCTTTCTCACTTATGCTTCTCGCCCTGCACATTGTCTCCCACACTTTGCCCAATCGGTCATAAGTTTGTCTCTTCCAGTCAGCACATCTTGTGCTCCTTGTCCTACGTGGCAGGTTGACGTGGCGATTCTGGAGGTTGGGATTGGAGGACGATTCGACGCCACTAACATTGTGAGTGGTCGGTGTGGTCCCTTTGCTTTCTGAAACATGCACCCTCTCTTTCCTTTCCCACCCCGCTTGCCAGCACCCTTCCTGTGCAATATCTGACATCACATCACTCTTGACATCACACCACTCTTCTGCTTGGCATTATCTCCTCCCACTCGTCCCTCTTTGCCCCCATCTCTCACCCTTCTTTACTGCCATATCCCGCACTTCTTTGCCATCGTCTCCTGCCCTTCTTTGCCCCCATCTCCCACCCTTCTTCTCGTTCCCTGCCTCCTCTACCCCCATTAGGTGAAGCACCCAGCAGTGTGTGGCGTGTCATCGCTGGGCTTTGACCACATGGAGCTGCTGGGTGAGTGGGAGGGGAGGTGTGCTGGGTGGGCTATGTGTGGGCGGATGGGTGGGGGTAGGCCAGGTGGTGCAATTGACCTCAGGCACCCAGCAGTGTGTGGCGTGTCATCGCTGGGCTTTGACCACATGGAGCTTCTGGGTGAGGCTGTATGGAGCTTGGTGTGCTGTGCTGGTGGGGCTGTGTGGGGGGTTTTCATCTTCAGCACTCCCTCTTCGCCATTCCAAAATCGCTATCCACTATTGCTTACCCCTTCCACCCCTCACTATCCCTGTCCACTCACACTCACCCCCTTCCACCCTTCACTACCCCTGCCCACTCATACTCTCGTGCGTGTTGCTGCTTCTGCTGACTGTGCAAAACTTCCAGGAAACACCCTGGCTCTGATAGCAGGCGAGAAGGCTGGGATATTTAAGGTGAGGGAGAGGGAGGGGTGGAGGAGGGGAAAGGAGAGGGGAAGGGGAGAAGGGATGGGGAGAATGTGCAGGAGGGGAGTGAGTGTAGGGCAGGGGTAAGTGATGTGATGGGAGGGGGTAGAATGTTAGGATAGATAAGGTGAAAGGAACGGGAAAGGGGGGTGACAGGGTGGGAGAGTGTAGGGTGGGAGATATGGAGAAGTGGGAGGGAGGGAGTAGGGAGTTGGGAGGTTATGAAGGCCTAGAGGGAACGTTCCTGCCTAGGCAGGAACGGTCTTTTCCTTTCTTTCTCTAATTGCATCTATCCCTGACTTCTTGTCTTCCCCACTCATACTTCACCACCCCCCCCCCTCTCACACCCCCCAGGCAGGAGTGCCAGCAGTGACAGCGCCACAGGAGGAGGAGGCGATGGAGGTGCTCCAGCAGCGAGCAGCAGAGCTGCAGGTGTGAGGGTGGGGAGGCTGTTAGGGTGAGGGGGTTGTGGGTGGGGAGGATGTGAGGGGGAGATGGGGTGTGCCAGCAGTGGCAGCACAACAGGAGGAGGAGGCGATGGAGGTGCTCCGGCAGTGAGCAGCAGAGCTGCAGGTGTGGTAAGGGGTTGAGGGCAAGTATGTGCAGTTGCGAGTCAGGAGAAATTTTATGAAGGGCTGCAAGTTTGGGCATCTCTATCTCTTTTACCACACACTCACACTCTCTCACACACACAACCACACCCGCACACCATCTCGTCCGCATGTGACTTCCATCCCGCTGATCTTCCCCTGCTAGATTCCTCTCGAGGTGGCCAGGCCGTGGCACGAGGTGGCGCCAGGTGTCCGCGTGGGATTGGCTGGCCGGCACCAGCAAGTCAATGCGTCTCTGGCCGTCTCTCTGTGCCGCCAGTGGGCCATCCGCAGCGGGAGAGAAGAGGAGGCAGATGCAATCAATAAGGTGAGATTTAGTGCGGTGATGTGAGGTGGTGTGGCAGCATGGCAGGCACCAGCAGGTCAATGCGTCTCTGGCCGTCTCGCTGTGCCGCCAGTGGGCCCTCCGCAGCGGCAGGGAAGAGGAGGCCCACGCAGTTGATCAGGTGAGATTCAGTGCGGTGCTGTGAGGTTCTGTGATGTGGAATAAAACGCGTCTCTGACCGTCTCTCTGTGTCGCCAGTGGGCCATCCGCAGCGGCAGGGAAACTGAGGCGCGTGTTGTTGATGAGGTGAGGCTGAATCTCATGCTGTGCACTCCTTCACGTGCCGATGAGGTTCAGGCACCGGCAAGCTGGACGTGCTCACGCAACTCGCTTCATTATAATTGCTCCTATAAGCCTTGATGGTTGATTTACTTGCCTTGACCGCCCTTCTTGCTTTTTTTGTGTCCGGTTGAACTCCCTTTTCGCTCCTTTATTCTCCTGGTTCAGGCCTTGGCCAATAAGACGCTGCCACCTGCCTACATCAAAGGGCTAGGGTGTGCCTCCTGGCCGGGCAGGTGTGAAATTTTGCAGGACTGCCGGGCCGAGCTTGGCCAGGCTGGAAGTGCAGGCGGGCAGCTGACATTCTTTTTGGATGGTGCCCATACAGTGGAGAGCATGGAAGTGTGCGGGGAGTGGTTCTGCGATGCCACTCAGGATGGTGGGAGAAATGCAGTGGGGGGTGGAAAGGGGGCTTTAGAGGAGGTTGGAGAGGGGGTTGAGCGAACAAATGCAGGGGAAAGTGCCGCAGCAACAGCAGCAGATGGAGCAGCAACAGGACCGACAGCGGTGCAAGGGTCAAGCCAAGTGGAAGGCAAGATTCCTGTGCGGGTAAGGTTATGTGGAACTAGCTATGTTGTGCGAACATGCTGACTTTACATGGGCTTCTGAGGGACACTAAGCCTGTTGTTTTTGGACATGCACTGGAGGAATGACACGCAATGGCGATCACTTCGCAGTCGCACAATCGCAGAGACGTGAGAGACTGCCGCACACGCGTCTCTCACTACCCTGCCTTTCGCTGCCATGCTCTTATCTCATCACAGGTGCTAATGTTCAACTGCATGCCTGAGTGACCCACACACACTCCGATGCGTTTTGCTCTGTGCTCCCTCTCTCTCTCTCTCTCTCCGCTCATCGCAGGTGTTGCTGTTCAACTGCATGCCCGAGAGGGACCCACACACACTCATGGCACAGCTTCTCAGGACGCTTGAGCGCAGAGGTGCGTTTGAAAACACTGCGGTACGGGTGAAATGGGTCAAGTTCGGTTGAGAACAGTCAGGTGCATCTGGAAACATTCATGGCACAGCTTCTCAGGACGCTTGAACGAAGAGGTACGTTAAAGAAACATTCACGTATGGTTGAGAATGGTGCAGCTTGATTGTTCCATTGCTTTATGTCATCATACTGTTCCCTTTCCCACCCCCTTCTCCCCAGGCCTGACTCTCCATCGAGCCCTCTTTGTCCCCTCCCTCTCCTCCTACACTGCCCTCCTTCCTTCTCCCTCCTCCTCCTCCCCCTCCTCCACTTCCCTCCCCTCATCCAACTCTACTGGCCCTGCTTCTACTGTGACGAGTCAAAGCATCAGCTCTGGCACCGTTGCGAGTGGCACGAAGCAGAGCAGCAGCTTCGGCCAGAACAGTCTGGATTGGCAGCTAGCCATGCAGCAAACGTGGGAACATCTACAGCAGCAACCACTGCATGCTGTTACTTCTGCTGCTGCTGCCGCCGACATTGGTGCTGGTGCTTCTGCTGCTACTGGTGGTGGTTCAGGTGTCCAGTCAGTTAACTCCATTCCTGCCTCGTTCCTTGTGCCTCGGGATTCGTCTCAATCAGTAGCTTCGCCAGCATCAGCAGCTGCACACCCAGGAGCACAAGGAGCAACACAAGGTGCAGAAAGGAAAGAGTTGGGGAATCCATCTTGGCCGTGGATCTCCCAGGGAATGGCGAGTTTGGGGCCTCGCAGTGCTGTGCTGCCGTCGCTGCCAGCGGCCATTGATCTGCTTAGATGGACGGCCAGGATGCACCCTAACATCCATCTGCAGGTGTTAGTGACAGGGTCTCTGCATCTGGTGGGTGATGTGCTGCGTGTAGTGAGAAGAGACTAGGTGTGCTTACTCCTGGTATGAAAGCGAATACTATGTGATGTTCCTGGACTGCTGTAAATCAAGTGCCTGTTCGAAGGTCTATCAATTTCGTTCAGCTATGTAAGTTAATCAGAATAAGATTAACATAACACATACAGTATATGAACTGCACTGAATCTCCCCCATATCCTGACTCGCAGCAAGAAGAGAAGTTGTTGGCACGAGCTTCGTGAGTCACCTAGAATGACCAATTAGTCCCAATAAAAGTTGCAGCGTAGATGGCAAGATTATAAATGTATGAATTGCGTACGGATTCAATACGACGACTGAACTAGACCGTTTTGTTCAGTGGCTCAGTATCGGTTTGCTGTATGCCCGAACCTTGGTGCCCCCAGTCGGACCTCAACCCTGGAAATGCCGAGGGGGTGTCTGTCTGACCAATCGTGGTCGGTGTAGGGCATGCCGTGCCGAACACAGGACCGAACACACCGAGCCGTGTCGTACTTTTGAACGGTAGGGACTGTAACTGTCTCAGAATCCCTGATCCCATCTCACCTATCCATACCTTTCCATAACTTTCTATACCTTTTTGTTTCATCCTCGATATCTCCACTCTCCTCCTTCCCTGCTGCATTTCTGTGATCACCGTACATCCCGCTCGGCTCTTGTTGCTGCTGCCTGCGTGACAGTCGCAAGCAGGCAGGCGCCATTATTGGAGCTGTGTTCAGGCCCCAGTCGCAGCAAGAGAGACAAGTCGTATCGTTTTTCTACCGCCGCTTGATAACCCTTGGTTTTCCCTGACGATTCGTTATTCTCGTGTTCCTTGCGAAGTATTATCCTTCATCCTTGAAATCATTGATCACATAAGGACGAAGAACGTGTTTTTGAGTCTGGAAGTTCGACGTCATCCCATCCACGCTTTGCGTCGTCCAAGCACAATAATTCCCACTCCTAACATTGTTCGCCTACGCCGGAATACGCACGCGATGACTCTAAGACAGATATTCACGCTACTAGTCGTCCTCGCGTCGTGTCTGTCGACGCTGCCATTCAGGGCTCTAGTGGCTGCGCAGTACGAGGGCTCAGAAGGCGGCGGTGATGACTATAGCGGCGGCGGCGGAGGAGGAGGATATGGCGGCGTGAAGTGCGACCCGTCGTCCTTGACGGATTATGATTATTCCGTCAAATTGAACGATCGCGGGTAATTAAAGTGTTTTTCCCCTTACCTTTTCGTTAGGGTGTTTTTCCGCTTCTTCTATTTCTCATGTTAAACTATTCTTAACATTCCCTTTCCGCTTCCCTCCTTTATTCCTCTCCCCCCCCGTCTCGCCACGCGCCAGTCTCATTCTGCACTGGAAGACCGTCAACTCCACGACCATCAACTTCGCCGCGCAAGCGCTAGCCGGCCCGGTTGCAGCCGGCTGGTTCGCCGTCGGATGGTCGGGCTCGTCCGGCAGAATGATTCCGGGAGACGCTGTGATCGGCAATCTGCCTGGCGGAACAATGAATCCTTATTATCTGGGATATTACTCCATGGATATGGTGGTTCCCACCAATGACTTCAGCATCGGGAGCCCCGGGAACGAGGCTCTGCTGACCAAGAACGCCGACAATTCTATCATCATGAAGTACGTGTTTTTTCTTCTCAATCTCTCAGCCTATTCTGAAAACTGGCCGTCCCTTTTCCAAAGTGCCGGATCCAATCTGTGTCCTTGTACCCGTTATTGTCCTCCTCGTTTCTTTGGCCAAGTGCAGGTTCTCCCGCTCAGTAAATGACGGCAAAGTGAAGGTGCTGCTCAAGGGAGTCAACTACATGATCTGGGCCTACTCGGACGGCTCCCAGACCCTTGCCCAGCACCCCCGCTCCAACATGTAAGCACCCTACAGAACCGTTCGGAACCTCCCCATAAGCACTTGGAAATCCCTAGAACAAGCCAGAACCACACAGAACCCCCCAGAACGTCCCTGCTTGGTCAGTGAACGATGGCACTGTGAAGGTGCTGCTTAAAGGAGTCAACTAGATGATCGAGGCCTACTCGGACGGCTCTCACACCCTCTCCCAACACCCCGGCTCCAACATGTACGCATCCCCCCCCCCCAGAACCTCCCAGAACCGCCTAGAGCGCACCAGAACCCCCTCTTCTCATCCTCTTTCCTCCTGTTTCCTCACCCCAGGGGATCCGTGCAGATAGACCACAGCTGCCCTGCGTCTGGGAGCAGCAGCAGCAGCAGCGGGTCCTCCTCCTCCCAGTCATCCTCCCCTTCACAACACACCCACTTCCCTTCCTCTTTGCTGTCACCCCCCACCCCCCCTCCCCCAGGGGATCCGTGCAGATCGACTACAGCTGCACCTCGTCTGGCAGCAGCAGCAGCAGCGGGTCGTCTTCCTCCCAGGGGTCGGCCTGCCAGCCCTCCTCTCATGCCCTCTTCCCTTCCTCTTCCCTTCCGCACCCCTCTCGTTTCTCCCTCCTCCCCCAGGGGATCCGTGCAGATCGACTACAGCTGCACCTCGTCTGGCAGCAGCAGCAGCAGCGGCTCCTCCTCCTCCCAGGGGTCGGCCTGCCAGCCCTCCTCTTATACCCTCTTCCCTTCCTCTTCTCTGTCGTTTCCCCCCTCTCAGGGGATCCGTGCAGATAGACTACAGCTGCTCCACGTCTGGCAGCAGCAGCAGCGGGTCCTCCTCCTCCCAGGGGTCGGCCTGCCAGCCCTCCTCCCTCGCCGGATACAAGTGCTCCACTAAGCTCAGCGCCAACGCGTGAGTGGGGTGCAGTGTGGTACAGTGCGGTACAGTGAGTATCTGTAACTTCTATGCTCAGCTCAGCTCTTAGCTGTTCCTTTCGAGTAATGTAGTCTGCCTTGCTTGGGGGATACCCCTGCACTGATCAGCTCAGCAGTAATGCATGAGTGCGGACTTAAGTGTTTCTGAAAATGATTAACTTTTATGGCACACTGCATCTTTGGATTGGCCTTGACTTTCTTGTTCCCACCCTCTCCCCTCTCTTCTTCATTCTCTCCACCTCCTCTCTGCTTCCCTCCCCCCCAGCTAAATCCTGCACTAGTCGGTCAACAAGGACAGCACAGTGCAACGTAAACACGCTCTTGACCCTCTCTTTTCCCATCCCCCCCCCTTCTGCCTCCTTCATCCCATCCTCCTCCCAGGTATATCCTGCACTGGGCAGTCAATAAAGACACCACAGTGAGCATAGCGGCACAAGTTGCCACAACAGGCTACATTGGGGTCGGCTTTTCTAAAGATGGCAAGATGTCCAACTCTGATGCAGCCATTGGGAACGTGCCACCTGGCACGCTGGCCAATGGGGCGGCAGTTGGACCGTACTACATGAGCGGGCATGATCTGCAGTCCGTGCAGCCTACAGCCATGTGGAGCGTTACAAACACGTCAGTTACCACTGCAAATGGATACACTATCATCAAGTGAGTAAGCATTACAGATTCAGTATACGTGAGCAGTCATGATCTGCAGTCCGTGCAGCCAATGTCCATGTGGAGCGTTACCAACATGTCCGTTACCAGTCAAAATGGTTACACAATAATCTGGTAAGGAGGATGATCAGAAGAGATGTACATGTGTCAAAAACTGCCTGTTAATAAGCAGTTGCGGGGCACTCGTCTCCATCGCCTCGAGAGAGTATTCAAATCTCCTCAAGGCAGTTCACCAACTCCCATGTCGCAACTGCTGATGAGCACTTTGATCTGAGGTAGTTGTAAAATTCAATAACCAAGAGCCTTTCCTCACGTGTCAGAGCCTTCCCGCGTGAGCCATCCTGCCCCTCATTACCTTTTGAGTCTGTTTCCATACGTTCTCGGGTTCAATGCCTCTCTCTCCCTCTTCTCGTCCCTTCCTCCAGGTTCACGCGCAGCATGGGAACGGGGCATGTGCCCATCAATGCGTTTGGCCCCACCACCATCATCTGGGCCTACTCGCCTGATGGCTCCACCACCCTCGCTGACCACCGCAGCAACTAGTGAGTCGCATGCCCATGCACTGCATTTTGCTCGCATGGCACGGCTTACTTTCCCGATGGTGTGGCATGATGTGGCATGCTGTGGCATGCTGTTGCATCGTGTGGCATGCTGTTGCATCATGTGGCATGCCTGATGGCTCCACCACCCTCGCTGACCACCGCAGCAACTAGTGAGTCACGAGCCACTGCAGTGCATTATGGGTAACATGGTATATCATGGCATGGCATGGCATGGCATGGCATGGCATGGCATGGTCTACTTGCCCAATGGCTCCACCTCACTTGTGGGCCACATGAGCAACAAGTGAGTTTCAAGCCCGTGCACGGCTGGTGGCATTGCATGGCATTGGGTGGCATGTCAATGACATATGGTGGCATGTCATGACATATGGTGGCATGTCATGACATATGGTGGTATGTCATGACATATGGTGGCATGTCATGACATATGGTGGCATGTCATGACATATGGTGGCATGTCATGACATATGGTGGCATGTCATGGCATATGTGGCATGTCATGACGTTGCATGGCACATTGCCACGGTATGGCATGTGATAAGTCCCTCCCACGGCTCACCCTCCCCTCTATGCTCGTCCCCTCCTCTCTCCACCCCAATGGCTCAGCCTCAATCGATTTTGTCAAGGGCACAGTGTCAAGTGGGCACGGCAGCAGCACAGCACCCTACATGTGACGCTCAACCCTCCTCCTCTTCCCCTCCGTCCCCCATTTGTGCCTCCCCTCCCCCCCCCCCCCCATCCCAGCGGCTCAGCCTCATTTGATTTTGTCAAGGGCACCTTATCTGGCGGGAGCGGCAGCAGCACAGCGGCCCACTCCCCCCTCACACCCCCCTTCCCCCATGTATCCCTCCCAACCCCCACCCAGTGGATCAGCCTCAATAGACTTTGTCAATGGCACCGTATCCGGCGGGCACAGCAGCAGCACAGCGGCGTACATGATTTGTAACCCCCTCCCTCCCCCATGTGCCCCATGCCAATCCCCCCAGCGGCTCAGCCTCAATAGACTTTGTCAAGGGCACAGTATCAGGTGGGCACGGCAGCAGCACGGCGGCCTACATCGCCCACGGGGGCACTCCTCTCCATCTCGTTCGCTCTGCATCCTTACTCCCCATCCCCTGGCATCCCATATGTCCCCTGCTATACCCTCCAGTGGCTCAGCCTCAATTGATTTCGTAAAGGGCACGGTATCAGGCGGGCACGGCAGCAGCACGGCAGCCTACATCGCGCACGGGGCACTCCTCTCCATTGCCTTCGCTCTCCTCATGCCCCTCGCCATCCTCCTCGCCCGTCTCCTCCTCGCCGACCGCCCCGACGGTGCCCCCCTCAACCTCAACCGTGCCTCATACATCCATGCTGACGCCAATGGGATCGCACCGTCACCCCAGCAACAGCCTGCAAAGAACCTCCGGCCGATGGGGTTTCAGTTGCATCGGGGCATTCAGGTGTTTGCGCTGGTGGTGATGGTGGCGGGGATGATTGTGATTGCTGTGCAGTCCGGGTCAAAAGGGCTGAACTGGACGCATGGGCAGGTTGGGTTGGCCGCGGTGATTCTCGCGCTGGTGCAGGGGATTGTGGGGTTCGTGCGACCGGATAAAACCGCTCCGAACCGCTTCATGTGGCTGGTGGCGCATTGTCTCGTTGGCGCCACAACCATTGCGCTCGCGTGGGCGGCCATGTTCCTGGGCATTGACCTATATCACATCAAGTTCATGGAAAACGTTACGGTGAGTGCTCCATGCATGCATGTATTCCCTCTGCTGTTCAATATCATTCTGTTGTAATTATCATTGTTGTCGTCGTTATCATAATCTGCATTATTCATTGCCAGTGTTGTTATGGTTGGTGTTTCTGTCGATATCATGATTGTTATTATGTCCTGTTGTGGATTGTTCTTCAGCCAGAGAACTGGTGAGAGGGAAGAGGCGTCAATTGAGGGATGCAAAAGGAGATCATGCGAGATGCTGGCTCAGGGGAACTCTTCAAGCATCTGCAAACTGTGCTAATACCTCCAACTCCAATCTTATTGCATCCTTCCCCCCTTCCCTCATGCAGTGGTGCTACTGGGTCTGTGGCATGTGTGTGGGCGTCTTTGGCGTGGCTTACTTGGTGTTGGTCATTCCCGACAGCATTCTATCGTTGAAGGGGCGTAAGGATCACGGTGACGATGGCAAGGGCACACCTGCTGCTTTTTAGAGGGACGGGGAGTCCACCATTAATGTGCTGCGTTGTGTGCACGAGTCGTTTGATGCCCATTGTGCCTAATAAAATAGAGGTGAATCCTCCTCATCTCTTTGATAATTGCAGTGTTGCTTGTGTGATGTGTAAGTACATCCTTTCGAATGGGGATGTATAGAGTAAAATGAGATTCTTCAAACCTCATCGTGCACTTACAAGCTTACGGAAACATGTTACATGTGTACCTTGATGAGCGTTATCCTGTTGATGGACGAAATCATAAAACCCACACTAGGGGAGTCCCCTGTGGGTAGGCTACCAGCTTAGATAGCGTTATTGGCGCTTCAAGGCTGGTGGGGTGGGAGCGTTTGTTGGACTTAACCTACTGTATTCCTTGCATGAGTGTGTTAGCACCTTGCTTGCTGCCTCTAGCTTGTCAACTAGTGGAATTACTAAAGGTGAGTATGTAAGTAGTCATAGGTTATTTTATGGCCTGTCTTCAGTTATCCATCTCCGTATTTTCAAACCTCACCCCGCCAAACCAATTATCCTTGTTACTGCATGGCGCGATACCCGTTTCAGTTTCCGTTCATACAGTCGTCATTCCGATGTCTGAGCCGAATTGATCAGATCAGCCTCCGTGACGCGCAACTCTCAAGGCGCCATGCATGACCTGGACCCTACTCAACGTTATAAAGTGAAAACAAGCCGCTCGTAAAATCACAGAATCGCACTTCACCGCAATAGTTTGGGCTCGTTTTACATGCCCCATGCATCTCTCTTGAATTCCTGTGTCTCGGCTGACCTCTCCTCCACTCAGGTATTTCCGCGCACACACGCAAACACACACACACACACACGATTATTAAAGCTCACAGCATTCGACGTATCATTGGCCTGGACTAGTCATGACGTCCTATAATTGTCGTGACGACTCTTATCCTTCTCTTTCGCATTGCAAATCAGCCGCACGCCGCCCATTCTTTCGAAGAGTATTTCACAAGCGAGCGCGAACAGCTCGATGTTCAGGGGATTTTGCTTACGCGACTAGCTTTCCCATCTTTCGACTTTGAATTAATCATTATTTACCAAAGTTGAAGGGCTACGCATTTAACCAATTCGTTTCGTTTTCTCGGTATGTCGACTCATCGAATGACGTCAACACGGATCAACAAACTGCTAGCCGTCCTCCTGGCCGCGTGTCTTGTGGCGCTGCCGCCTTTCGTGGCTTTCGCCAACGCGCAGGGCGACAGCAGTGTGACGTGCGACTCGTCGTCTCTACCGGACTACCAACACTCCGTCAAATTGAATGACGGAAGGTAATAATTTCGTGGATTGTCGTCTCTTCCTGAATCCCCAGAATCCACACATGACGTCTTCCAAATCTCAAACTTCCAGCCAGTCCAGGCTGCTACTTTTTCTACTAGTTTCCTCAAAACTCAGTTACTTTGGATGTCACACAATTTTTCCCCAGTTGTTTTGCAACCTTTCCTCCTCCTTTCCTCTTTTCTATCCCCTCCTCGTCTCGCCGCGCATCAGTCTCATCCTTCACTGGAAGACCGTCAACTCCACGACCGTCAACTTCGCCGCGCAAGCGCTAGCTGGGCCGGTTGCAGCTGGCTGGTTCGCCGTCGGATGGTCCGGATCGTCCGGCATGATGGTGCCGGGAGATGCGGTGATTGGCAATCTGCCAGGCGGGACAATGGACGCGTATTATCTGGCAAGCCCGGTCCCGGATCAGGTGCTTCCAACCACGAAATTCAGCATTGGGAGCGCAGCCGTGTTGAGTACGACCGCCGATAACTCGCTCATCATGAAGTGAGTGAGCTTCCCAACACATCCGATCTGTTTGTTTGCTTCTTTTCTTTTCTTTTCTTCTATTTCCTTTTCTTTCCTTTTGGTTCATGCTGTTGCCTGTCAGTGTTAGCAGAGAAACTCAGTTGAAATAAGTGTAATGTCCCTTCCTGTCCCTTCCTGAAAGTGTCCCTTGCTGAAAGTGTACCTTCCTTAAAGGTGTGCACCTTTTTCCACTCCAGTAGCCTAAGTAACCGGACGCTAGCGTTTCAACTAGATTTATTCATCACACACACAATGAGTTCGTTCCATTGAATGGAATTTCGCCAATTTATGCACATATTGTTATACCCCATATTGCATTTCCCGGTTGCAGGTTCTCGCGCTCAGTGAAAGACGGCAATGTGAAGGTGCTGCTCAAGGGAGTCAACTACATGATCTGGGCCTACTCGGGCAGCTCTCAGACCCTCTCCCAGCACCCTATGAGTAACATGTACGCACCATATGGTTGTGTACTCATCTATATATACCTTCGTGTTCGCTTCTATGCCCTCGCATACTTTTCCATACCCTTCTATACCTTTGTACAGCTGCCTACACCCATCTATACCCTTCTCTTCGTGTTGTTTGTTTCCTCCCCACAGGGGATTCCAGCCGATAGACTACAGCTGCCCCTCTTCCACCAGCAGCAGCGGCGGCAACATTGGCAACCATCTTTCTATAACATGTACACCCTTTTCTTCGTGGTGTTTCCTCCCCACAGGGGATTCCAACCGATAGACTACAGCTGCCCCTCTTCCACCAGCAGCAGCGGCAGCAACATTGGCAACCATCTTTCTATAACATGTACACCCTTTTCTTCGTGGTGTTTCCTCCCCACAGGGGATTCCAGCCGATAGACTACAGCTGCCCCTCTTCCACCAGCAGCGGCGGCGGCGGCACGGGAAGCACTGGCGGCACCGGCAACACGGGGAGCACCGGGAGCACCGGCAGCACTGGCAACACTGGCAGCACTGGCAACACCGGCAACACAGGGAACACTGGCAGCACTGGCAGTACCGGCAGCACAGGGAGCAGCAGCAGCACCGGCAGCAATGGCAGCAACAGCAGTGGGTTGTCCTCCTCCCAGTCACAGGGGCCGGCCTGCCATCCCTCCTCCCTCGCGGGCTACACCTGCTCCACTCAGCTCAGGCAGAACGCGTGAGTGTGGAGTATGTGAGTTGTTTTTGTAAATATGAGCTGTTTGTTTCCAGGATACACATGCTCCTTTTGGTTCGCAAGAACGCGTTGGTGCGGTCTGCGTTACTTCTTTTGTTCCTCCTGTGCATGGTAACGAGGAACAAAAGAAGTAACGCTTCGGTGGGGTCTGCGCCCAGGGCGGTCAACCAGGATAGCACGGCGAGTCCTGAGTTCTCTCCTTGTCACCATCCTCTCCCATCTCTGCCTCCCTCCCTCGATCTCCCTCCCCCTCCTCGTCGGATCCAGCTACATCCTGCACTGGGCGGTCATCAAGGACAGAACAGTGAGCATTGAATCCTAATGTTGTCCCCATCCTCTTCCCCCTCTGCCTCCCCTCCCTCCAGCTACATCCTGCACTGGGCGGTCAACAAGGACAGCACAGTGAGCATGGCAGCACAGGTCGCCACCACGGGCTACATCGGCATTGGTTTTTCCAAAGACGGCCAGATGATCAACTCTGATGCAGCCATTGGGAACGTGCCAGCTGGCACGCTGGCCAACGGGGCGGCGGTGGGGGCGTATTACATGAGTGGGCGTGATGTGGCATCGGTGCAGCTAACTGACACGTGGAAGGTTACCAACACGTCGGTTACCACCAACCAAAACGGTTACACCATTATACGGTAAGGACGAGGAGATGTGGGGGCGAATTGCATGGTGAAACCTTCAAAATACCATGTTGAACACTCGTGGCGTCAGTGCAGCTGACTGACACGTGGAGTGTTACCAAGACGTCGATTACCAGTGCAAATGGATAAACTGTAATACAGTGAGTAAGCAAGGTAGTATTTGATCCGGCATGCTTGACAGTCAGTGCAGGAAACTGGGACGTGGAGTGTTACCGACATGTTTGTTACCAGCCAAAACGGTTACTCAGGTAAGCATTCTGAACTATGGAGCCGTATTTCTGGATTATGTGACACTTGGAGTCTTACCAACGTGGCCGCATCTCTATATCTCCCCCTCCTTCCCCACAGGTTCACGCGCAGCATGGGCACGGGAAATGTGCCCATCAACCCAAATGGCCCCACCACCATCATTGTGTTCGTGCCCTCATTCCAACTCCCCTGTACCTTCCTTCTCCCTACGACCCTTTTCGTTCCCTCCTCCCTCCCCACAGGTTCACGCGCAGCATGGGCACGGGGAATGTGCCCATCAACCCAAATGGCCCCACCACCATCATCTGGGCCTACTCGCCTGACGGCTCCACCACCCTCGCTTTCCACGCCAGCAACTAGTAAGCGTCTCGGTGGCATGGCGTGGCATGGATGTCATGGCTTGGCATGGATGTCATGGCGTGGCATGGATGTCATGGCGTGGCATGGATGGCATGGCGTGGCATGGATGTCATGGCGTGGCATGGATGTCATGGCGTGGCATGGATGTCATGGCTTGGCATGGATGTCATGGCGTGGCATGGATGTCATGGCGTGGCATGGATGTCATGGCGTGGCATGGATGTCATGGCGTGGCATGGATGTCATGGTACAGCACGGCATGGTACAGCATGGCATGGTACAGCATGGCATGGCATGGGACGGCACGACATGGCTTGGCATGGCACTGTATGGCATGGCATGGCATGGCAAGGCATGGCATGGCATGGCATGGCATGGCATGGCACGGCATGGCACGGCATGGCATGGCACGGCATGGCATGGCATGACGTCCCCGCTCTTCCCCCTTTCCCCCCTCTTCCCCCAATCTATCCCTCCCACCTCTGCCAGCGGGTCAGCCTCAATCGATTTCATCAAGGGGACGACCACAGCAGGCGAGGGCAGCAGCACAGCAGCCTACATCGCGCACGGGGCACTCCTCTCCATCGCCTTCGCTCTCCTCATGCCCCTCGCCATCCTCCTCGCCCGCCTCCTCCTTGCTGACCGCCCCGACGGTGCCCCCCTCAACCTCAACCGCAGCCATCGGCCTCTAGGGTTCCAGCTTCATAGGGGCATTCAGCTGTTTGCACTCGTGGTCGCAGTGTCGGGGACGGTTGTGATCTTTGTTGTATCAGGCTCTAAGGGGCTGACGTGGACGCATGGGAAGATTGGATTGGCTGCGGTGGTTCTTGCACTGGTGCAGGCTGTGGTGGGGTTTGTGCGACCGGATAAGACCGCTCCGAACCGCTTCAAGTGGCTGGTGGTGCACTGCTTGGTTGGTGGTACAACCATTGGGCTTGCGTGGGCCGCCATGTTTCTGGGCATCGACCTCTACCGCACCAAGTTCATGCAAAACGTCACGGTGAGTCTCTTGTTAACTTAATTCCACACTGTTTTGTATTTTTTAGTAAATAAAGAGTTGTTGAGGGAGGAAGGGAACCAAAGGGTGGGGGGTGGGGCAAGAGGTTGAGAGGGAAGGTGCCCAGCTGGGTGTTCCCTTATGCTGTTTGTAGACTCTAACCATTCTTCCCCTTCTCTTCCCTGCCTTCCCTCCTGCAGTGGTGCTACTGGGTCTGTGGCGTGTGTGTGGGCGTCTTTGGAGTGGCATACCTGGTGTTGGTCATTCCCGACAGCTTTCTATCGTTGAAGGGGCGTAAGGTTCAGAGTGACGCTGGAAAGGGCACACCTGCTGCCTTCTGAATGGATGGGGTCCACGACTGCGTGGGTGACGTCGAATAAATGGAGAGGTGAAATCCCGTCTCAATAAATATTGGAGCATACGAGTCGATCGAGGTGCACAGTAGTACCTATTGTTTGAGAGATAGATAGTAGTTTTGATATTAAAATTAGGCGTATCTAGGTGCCTCAATAATAAACGAAGCATCCAGCGCTTTGAGTCTCTTGCGTCTCTTCTGACTGCAACCAAGCAGGCACTGCGTTTTAGCGTTGTCACATGTCCTGTTGTTCCAGCATTTGTGTATCAAACCATAGCACCGTAGATGCGAACAGTGTTTCACGCGTTTGCAACTACTGTATCGAAACTCATTTTTACGAGGCATTGAACGCGCACCATGGACCTGCTGCGTGAGTATGACTGGCTGGCGGCATTCCCAAGGCTCATCCACATCCCCTCCCAACACTGATCGGCAGCACCATAGACAGAACACAAGTCAGAGAGTTAAGGGCACGTGTGATCCAAGGATTTTTGTCAAAGTTCGAACTCAAACCGCTTTGCATCGTGGAGAGACATCGCTCAATTGTATCCTACCGTGTAGAACCTTTCTAAAAGTTCGAACTTTGGGAAGTTCGAACTTTGATCACACGCGCCCTTCATTCTTGTTTCTGCTAGGTTGCCGTTTGCGACGGAACACAAGGCAATCGGTGATCGAACTTGCTGGCCATAGGAGCGTTCGCCATGGCTCTGGCTGCCGCACCTTCCGCTGCATGGCGACTCGCCGTCTCCAGCGCGCTGACCTCGGGAGTCACCACCGGGTCGAGCACTGAGAGCTCGCGTTGCTGCACGCATGTCAGTGGATCCTCTTTTCACACGCCATTGATTTTTTTTGCAATTTTGCCGCGCTCGAACAATTTATTTTCAATCTTCATCGAGATTTTGTCTGACTGCGAGGAACTACGTTGCTGAGCGCAAAAGTATGTCGTGGGTCTTCCGGAAATTGAGTTATTTTTTTCATTTTTCATTAGAGAATTGCTCACCTGAAAGTTTGTGTTTGCTTACAACATTGTCGCTTAGCTGTATGTGTTTTAGGATTTCACAAGAGTTGTTACGATTTCTTAACCCTTGCCTAGACTACGACAATTATGGAAGTCCAACAGAATTCGTCAGCCATTTTAAATCATCCGTGCTTTTCCTCCTTTCTCGAGGTTCCAGGATGCTTCATTCGCTACTCCGCGGAGTCTCTCCGCCACGGCCCGCGGGTCCCGTCACGTTGCGCGCGCCAAGTTCCAGGGCTTCCGCCAGTCGGCCGGGGAGGCGCAGGAGGCGGACAGCGCAGCCGCTGCTCCGGCGAGCGCGGAAGAGAACGGCGCAGCCGTCGCAGCCGTTGCGGAGGGAGCCGCGGAGGAGAGGGACGCGGGAGGACGCGACGACGAGTGAGTGACTGGCGCGAAGCTCGCTGCGTTCGTTGGAGTTTCATTTATTAATGCATTCATGCATTCCTTACATACATTCATGCATTCCTTCATTCATTCAAGCACCCATACATTTCTGTGTTTGTACGTTTCTGTGTTTGTACATTTATGTGTTTATACATTTCTGTGTTTGTACATTTATGTGTTTATACATTTCTGTGTTTATACATTGGCTTCAATTGGTCCCCGGTTGTTATCTTCTTATTGTCTTCTGGATGTTCGCCTCACCTTCCCCTCCTTGTGTCTCGCAGTGTGCTCCCGACGGACCTGGATGGCGCTGTCCGCCAAGCAGCGCAGTCGGCGGCTTACTTCTGCAACGGAGGCGGCACCCGCGCCATTGTGAGTGCGTTTCTGCATTAAGCTGTTCTGCAGCAGCACTAGCGTCATTCTCTCAATGCACTGCATCACTAGCGCCAAAAGTACTTACATAATTTAAAAAGTCCAGCTGTAGCTATAACAAAAGAGCTGAGTTTCTGCAAACGAATTGAATTCAGAAAGTGAGAGACAGTCAGTGTCAGCCCTTCTCATGTCGTCTCAAGACTCATCAGAGCCGCGGGAATGGCCGAGCGACCCTCATTAAGTCTAATTGGGGAGAGCGCAAGAATTGGGGAGGAAGGAAGCTTCCTCTCCATCCCGCGGATAGAGAGGCCCTCTTTCCTCCTCGCCTTCCTGTCTCTCCTCGGAGGGGCAGTAAGGTGGGGAGGAGGGAGGCGGGGGGAGGTATAACCAGCCCTGGGTTAGCGCTAGACATGCTGCACAGGTTGAAGCCTCCCCCACATGCGCCCTTGCACAAGCAAGCTGGCACACAGATGGAAATCACTGCTTTTATAAACACCTCTTGCATCTCGTTCTGTGCCGCTCTCACGTGGTGTGGAGCTTATTGAGCAAGAGAGCAAATTGGTGAGGTGAGGTGCCTGAACCCTCCATTGTCCCATGGCCCATGTTTTTCACATGCCTCCCGTTCGTGCCAGGTGGAACTGCTGGTGCCAGATTTGTAGATCAGGTCAGAGGAAGGCGCACGCACAGCAGCTCCTGTGTCCCTCCTTCTGTCCTTCTCATCCGTCCCACCCACCCCTCCCATGTCACATGGCCCCTGTTCTTTTCATCTACCCACACACCTGTGCTCTGCGGCCAGGTGGAACTGCTGTTGCCGGATTTGGAGATACGAGTCAGTGCCGTGCAGTGCAGTGCAGTGCAGTGATCTGTTCCCACTCCTTGCATTCCGCGCATTCCTCCCATTAATCCCTGCGGCCAGGTGGAACTGTTGGTGCCAGATTTGGAGATCAAGTCAGACGAAGGAGCGCAGCAGCTGCTGTGGGACACCAGCCGCACCTTCCTCGACTCCCTCAAGGGACACCTTGACTTTGAGGTAAGGCGTGGTCCAGTGTGGTGCAGTGCAGTGAAGCCAGGTGTATCCAGGTGGGGTGCAGCAGCTGCTGTGGACACCAGCCGCACTTCCCTCCACTCTCTCAAAGACCACCTGGACTTTGAGGTGAGACGTGGTGCACTGCAGTGCAGTGTGGTTCGGTGCAGTGATTCCAGGAAATTACAGGTGACTGCAGCAGCTGCTGTGGGACACCAGCTGCACCGTCCCTGATTCCCTCAAGGGCCACCTCAATTTTTGAGTTGAGACATGGTGCAGTGATGCCCCACACGGCACAGTGTGGGGCAGCCAGGTTAGCAGCAGTGAAGGCCAGCAGATTAGGATCATGGTTCGGTGCGGTTAAGTCAGGTCAGCTGTGATGGAAGTGGAACTTGCTTATCCTCTCCCCTCCTTCCTAACTCTCTCCCATCTCTACGCTCCCTTTCTACTCTCCACTCCTGTCTCCACCCCTTCCCCCACTCCTTCTCCCACCAGAATGTGAGGGCCATATTTCCAGACGCCGGGTCAGCAGCGCTCCTCAAGAACCAGTGGCCGGACGCTCCCTTTGCCTTTTCAAGCCTGATGGACCGCAAGCCAGTGCAGGAGCAGGACGATGTGGTCGTGCTCATCACCCCCGAGTACCAGCAGCTCAGCGTGGTCGAGTCCATCGGGGGCATGCTCGCCACAGAGGACGGCTTGACCCGCCCGCTCATCATGTACAACCCGAGGCTGGTCAGTGGGGATGTGGGCATCGGGCTGAACGTGCGGCGGCTGAGGGAGCGGTTCCTGTCGACGTTTACCACGGCGTTCTGCCTGAGGCCGCTGCCAGTGGGAGCCATCTACCGGCGGTACCCCAAGTGAGTAGAGAGAGGACTGTGTTGAGTGCTCATTGCTATTATCTTTCTTCGTGCAGCGCGGTAGAATTAGAGTCCATAGGCGGCCTGCGGCCGCTGCCGGTGGGAGCGATCTACCGGCGGTACCCCAAGTGAGTTGACAGTTGACTGTGTTGGACTGCTTGTGGATAGCTCGTGGATAGTTCCTGTGTGACCCACCCTTTTTTCTCCCTCTCTGTTTTTTTGCTTGTGGTTAGTGGCGTCTAGGGAATGTGGTATGCAATGCCAGCAACCGTGTGTCCGTTCGTCCCCGTTTTTGTTTTGATCCTTGATTGTGCTGCGGAGATCAATGTAATTTATTGCTCCTCTGCTCGCTCTCCTTGCAGCCCCTGGCAGTTGTATCTTGACGACCCTAATGAGCCCGGCCGATATCTTCTGTTTCGGCAACAAGGGTCAAAACCCAACATCGACGATATTGAGGTGAGTTTTGTCACGTTATGACAAGGTTCGTAGGTAGTGTTTCTCATACACACCTACCATCATATACTCACGCACATCATTTGTTTCATGTGGGCTGAGCAGTAGGTAGTGTCTCTCACACACACCTACCATCATATACTCATGCACATCATTTGTTTCATGTGGGCTAAGCAGGATATGTACATGGCAGCATCGGGAGGGGGTGAGCCGGGAGCAGAAGAGCCTTCTTTCATCGAGCAGGCTTTTGGAGTTCTTTCATCCTTCAACCGGTTCATGCAATCTCTTTCCAAGTAAAGGACGGAAATGTATGTACTCCAGTTCCACTAGTATGGTTGCCTGGATGGATAAGTATTCGAATTTGTATAACACCCTTGCATTTCATAATGTATGCACCTGGTTTTCATTGGCTGCGTTCTGCGGGCGCATCAGCTCTGACGCGCTCTAGGCTCGGCGTGATCCACACATTGACAAATTGAGGTTCGGGAATGAGGAATTTGAAATTGACTGAAAATTAGAGGTTCAGAAAATGGAGATTGAGGTTCGGGAAATCGGAAAATGGAGATTTCGAATTTCGGGCATGTCAATTTTCGATCTCAAATTTCCGAGGTATTCCAGGGTTCTGAAGGTTCTCTGAAGCAGGGAAGCACGCACCTGACACCTTCCCCACACACCTAATTTCGAATTTCAATAGTCCAATTCGATTTAATGCGCGTATCATGCGCGTTCCCTGCGTTGCATCATGCGCGCATCAAAGATGCGTCAGATTGCTAGGACGATAAATTTATCGGAAAGCGGCGACATGAAAATTTCTGGTTGCCAAAAAGACCGTTCTGCAGGCATTCGGGCTTGGTTTGCCTCGGCAGCCAAGCGCTTATCGCGAGCCTTGATAACCTTTCAGCTGGTTATCGAGGAAGGCTCCTGGAACATCTAAAAATTTTGCAATGTACATTGATGCGGGCTAATGCGGCCGCAGAACGCAGCCTTTATGTGCACTGCACTGACATTAAGAAATAAGAATTGTCTCACCTTGCATCAACGCAACGTGGATTGTCCTGTCTCCTTGCTGGTTCCGACACGCTCACCAGCAATTTTCCAGACATTTGGGAGCATGCACCGACAGGTGTCCGTGACCTGCTGCCACGCGTTCAGGTACGGTACGGCAATTTCAATGGCTTGCGCCAGGAAGGCCAATCACAACCAAGGACACAAAAATCGGTTCCGCCAATCATGTATTTTCCATGTCAGCCCCGCTTGCCCCCACCTTAGGTCCCTGCCCCTGACTCGCCTCGCCGCCATGACGCTTCTGCACGAAACGAGGGATGGTAGACGATGCTGGAAAATTACTGCATGACAAGGTTCGGTTTAGTACGGTTTTCGAGATACTGAATCTGCAACCATCTGGGGGGATAACGGCTAGTTGAGGTGAAGTGTGTCTGCAACTAGGAGGCTTTCCTTACAGGTCTCCTAAAACTTAGTCAGCCGAAGTGTTAGTCTGGACTTCCGGGTTTTTCCACAATTTAGCTAAAAAGGAGCACGGGCCTAGACTTTACTAGATGTGTTTTCATACGTAAAGCTTGTCCTTGAAGCTCGCAGAGCCTTCCCGTTCATTCTTTAGCGTCGGTGAGTTTGGTCACAATCGTCAACCACACAATCCGGTCTAACTGCGTAAACAGTAAGAGTACCACCTATAGAAACAGAAAGAGATCACAGCAAGTCATGAGTGCGACGGCAGCTGGCTTGGCCGTGGCGAAATGGATTTCATCCACGGCCATTCGCGCACAGACGCCACCAGAGTCAAGCTACCTTCCAAATAATTCCTTAACCCCGGGATTATCAGTACAGCCAAGGCGGTCACCGCGATCAGATCGCTCAGCTCATCCCCGAGCTTTATTAAGTACGGGTGCCGTCAGCAAAATCGCTCGCCGAAAATCAGATCTCGGCACAGCGGTCAGCCGCCTGGATCTCGGAAGCCGGCGACGTGGACGAGATTCGCGAAACAGGCTCACCTCGCGAAGGCTCGTGCAGGTAAGGTCGTTCGTCAGATTACAGTCTCTATGACTTCTTACATTATGATGAGTGAACTCGTAGGGCTTGTTTTTCCCATCGTTCAGATGACTTTCCAGTCGACTCAGAAGTCGTTCGTCAGGGTTGCATTCTCTATGTCTGCCTGAATTATGACGCGCGGGCCTGTGGGGTTGTGATTGGTGTCGTTGAGTCGTTGTGATTTGCCGGTCTTTGGCGGGGAATGCAGATGATTCGGCTGCATGTTGTTGCGGATCTGCCTCGTCATGCAAAACATGAGCACCAGACGGGTCTTGCTTCCCGCTCCGCTTCGTGTCGAATAACCGCCCTATGCTCCTATTCTTTTCTCCCCAGACCAACGCCAGCCAGAATTCCGGCGGCGCTGGGGACGACAGCAGTAGCAGCAGTGGCGGTGGCGGCGGTGGGAAGAGCGAGGACGACGCAACATCGCTGGCGGCGGACGCAGGCGGGATGGACTGGCGGACGTTCCGCGCGAAGCTGGTGGCGGGCCACGAGGCCACGCGGAGCGTCTCCGCGCCCTCCCCCGCACAGGAGGCGGTGGGGCTCGAGATCTGGCAGGTGGGGTGCTGAAGGGGTTTGATTGTTCTAGGCTTCGAAGAACTGGCTTGAGCTTTGGTCGGTGCGGTGGTGTAGGTGGGGCTGAAACCCCAAGCAAAAATCCGAGGTTCGGTGGCAGGTTTGGTGCAAGGCCGGGCTTTTTTCCTGCTTTGATATCCCTCGGATACCATATTTCAACCCCCGTTTCGTCTGTCGAACTTTCTCCCTCACCACACCACACCATCATCAGGACCGCACGAGCCTCGAGAAGTGGGCACAGCTGGCCTCGCAGAACCCGCGTCTAGCAAAGGAGGTGCCCCTTTCCCTCCTGTCCCCTCTCCTGTCCCCTCCCTACACCTTCTTATCCCCCTCCTCCCCCTTCACCACCAACGTCATCAGGACCGCATGAGTCTGGAGAACTGGGCGCTGCTGGCCTCACAGAACCCGCGCCTGGCCAAGGAGGTCCCCTGGGTGCACTCCACAGGGGGCGCGGAGGCAGGGGGCGTGCTGCTCGCCGCGCCCTTCCCCCAGCTCCCCGGACAGGGGGGAGGGGAGGGGGGAGATGGAGGGCGGGGAGGGGGAGCGGGCGGGTTGGACAGGCGGTTGTGGCAGGCGGCTGTGTTCCTGGTGGAGCACGGGGGGGCGGGCAGGGAGTCGTGGGGGCTGTTGCTGAACCGACCATCGGGCTACACGATTCAAATGGTGGGTGAGCGCATTCGGCGTGTAAGATTGTTAAGATTATGAATTGTGAAAGCGTTAAGAAATGACTCTCTGGAGGAGCATGGGGGCGCAGGCAGGGAGTCATGGGGGCTGCTGCTGAACCGACCATCGGGTTACACGATTCAAATGGTGAGTCGAAGCATTCGGCATGCGAGGGGGTTTTGAATGTGAGAGCGTGAAGAAACGGCTTTCGAGGTTGCTCAGAAGTAGTTCTGGTGGAGTCATCGGGGCTGTTGCAAACCAACCATCAAAATACACGAATTAGATGGTGAGAGGGTTCAGAAGGAGTGAGAATTTTGGAGGGTAAGAGCATTTAGCATTCTTTCTGATTTACATTTTTCTGTGTGGGCCCCCTTCCCTCCCCCCGCCTCCTCTTTCCCCCTTCCTCTCCTCCAGTGCTGGTATTTTTTTTCTGTCTGCCTCCTCCCACCTCCCCGTCCCTCTTTTCCCTTCTCTCCTACCATGTATTCCCAACTTACCATCCATGCCTTCCCTCCCTCCCCTTCAACCACTCACCCCCATTCCTATGTCCCCGTTTCCTCTCTCTCCGTCCCACCCTTCTTCACCCGCTAGGCGCTAGTATAGGTAAATCGTTTGGAGGAGAGACATCACTGGCAAAGGTTTTCCCAACTTTCCATTCCTATCCCCACCTCCACTTCCTCCATCTCCCTGCTTCTTAGGCGCTGGCGAAGGTGAATCGCGTGGAGGATGCATCGCTGGCGGTGTTTGCGCGCAACGCCATCTACATTGGCGGGTTCAAGTCTGACGGCAGCACTCTCTACTTCCTGCACGGCCACGACCTGCCCGGGGCCAAGGAGGTGCGCTCAAGGGCTCTGCACCTTTTTCCCTGCCCATGCATCTCTTCCCCTCCCTGCTCTTGTCCCGTACTCTCTACTCTCTGGACGGCCACGACCTTCCAGGGTCCATTCGGGGGCCGTGATAGGAAATTGCCCTGCATTTTGATCCACCTCTTTGGTTAGACGATCTAGTGTGGACGAAGCTGGATGAGTACGGCCCATAGTCGTGCAAGGTTATCTTTTTCAAGAAGTCTCGGTAGGAAAATAGGGAAGAGGAAAAACCACACGTGGATGTGCTATCGTTAACCCTGGAGGTGAGATGAAAGAGAAGGGTTAACGGTAGCACTTCCACGTGTGGTCATTCCTTTCCCTGTTTTCCTCCTACGGCTCCTTGAAAAGAGATAACCTTGCACGGCTATGAGCTGTACTCATTCAGCTTCGGCCACACTGGATCGCCTATCTTAAGTGGTTGATCAAGAGACAGCGTCATTTCTTATCACGCTAAACCTGCTTTTGGGCCAAGAGGTGCGCACATGCGTGCGTGCTATGCCTCGCATACAATGCCTCGTCATGTCATGCTTGTCTTGCTGAAATCCTCACCCTACTGTCAGGTCATGCCTCGGGTGTTCCTCGAAGGGCTGGATGCAGCAGCGGAGCAGGTGCTTCTCTTCCTCATGGTCTTTGCCTCTTCAGTGTGCCTGCATCTGTTTCACCTTTGCTACCCCCCTCCTCTTGCCCATCATCCCTTCAGCTCATGCCTGGCGTCTGCATGGGAGGGCTGGAGGCAGCAGCAAAGCAGGTGCTTCTTTGAAGGTCCCTCCCTCCACGTCAACATTCCTTCATTTTTTAGCCCTTCATGTCACTCTCTTCCTCGTGCCATGGCCCCCTTCAGCTCATGCCTGGCGTCTACATGGGAGGGCTAGAGGCAGCAGCGGAGCAGGTGCTTCTGGGCAACATGCCACCGACTGATTTCAGATTCTTCGTCGGGTATGTCCGGAACTTCCTAAATACTTAATCTGGTGAAGTTTATGCAATACCTCGGGTTTTTGAGACGTCTAAAAAAAGGGCAGAATGCCTCCGACTGATTTCATGTTGTTTGTTGGGTATGGCCAAAACTTCCTGAATACTTAGTCTAATGAATTTGTGGAAGACCTCCCGCCTCGTATCATTCACTCTTCCGAGGACTTTATCTCATGTTCCCTGTGTTTGAATGAGTGCTACTAGAACCATTCTCCACCTTGCTCCTTCTCATTGTTCCTACGACGATTCCCATGACTGTACACATAGTTGTTTCTATCCCATGGGGGTGATGCCAGACAACTGGAGTGGCCTGCAGGCAAGCTCCAGGAGGAGGTGGATGCAGGTCTCTGGTACACTGCAGCATGCGCCAGAAGCCTTGTGCTCAAACAGTGCTTGCAGCTCCCCAAACCCCTCTGGTAAGCCCGTCCGTACCCACCTATCCCAGACCATATGTGGCGTCTTGGGATTGGTTGTTTTGCTGCGCTCTGTGCCAGGCGGTGAGACACGTTGAAGAATTACATGTGCTGTGTCGTGTGTCGATGATGCAGGCGGGAAATGTTGGAGCTGATGGGAGGGGAATATGCGGAGACCGCAAGAAAGGAATATGGCGAGGGCAGCTGAGATGGATAGTCGGCCTGCGGTTGCTGGGATTTAGCGTACTGCCCTCGTTCTCGTCAGAGCCATATTACGGTGCGTGTGTTTGGCTCCAATTCCCATGCATTGGTTTATTGGGATGAGAGTTCCGCACCTAGTAGCTTAGTTCCCTAGCGTGGATCAATATTAATCACGTGATTCTGTATGGCCCTGCATAATCATAAGCACAGCCATCCCAAATCGGGGTAACCTGGAATGACTTACTTAAATTGCTAGCTGGGCCGATTCATAGAGCTGTAGCGTGTTCTCCACTACCAATGCCTCAATCGACGTCTGCGTATATCGCGTAATTTTTGTTTCGTTCCAGCCTTTCAGAGTGGTACCGGATGGGCTTCAGATCGGTGGTGTGCGATGCTACAAGTATCCGCAGTTTTTTGCGAATGAGCTGGTCCCGAAATTGGTCCTTCGCCCAACAACTGTGGAGTTTCGCATCTGAAGATTTCCGTACACCGCCGCCTTTCCCAAACCGCCCACATCACTCCCCTTCCAAAAGATCGCCCAGAAAAGGAGGTGGTTTGATGGGGTAGCCGAACAGGCTCGATGGTTTGGCTCGGTTCAGTGCTTATCTGTTCTGGGCCCTGGGCTCGGTCAAGGAGTTAGTTGGGTGAGGGGGGGCAGGTTCTTATTGGTGGGAAACTTCGCCTTGTTCGGTATGGGCAGCTCCTGGTTGGTCCATACCTTGGTTGTTGGCGCTCTTATCTTCCCAGCCTCTCTGATCTGGTGACTGCGGAACGGACAGGTCATATTACGTCGTTTTCTCGGGTGCGCAATGGTGGAATGCGGCGGAAACAAAATGAACACTGGACCCCCTCTCACAGTATGGGCATGCAGCATGCATGCCTTGTCCCATATGTTTTTCTCTGAGATAAGGCAGGACTCCCGTGGTTGTTAGGGCCCAGTTCGGCAGGCATTATGGCCATTATCGCCATTATGGGCCATTTTAACGGGCCCCCAAAAAATGGCCCCAAGAAACAGACTGTAGCTGCAGTGAAACTTCGGAAAACAATGCCCGATTGTTCGATTGGCATTAAATGGGCCTAAATTAATGGCGCCATTGGAAATGACACTTCTGAGAAGCCCGTATGGAGCTGCGCTGATGGAGCGTAGAATCACTGTAAGGGCAGCCCGGGCAGCCCTGCAAAGCAGCGGTGGACGTCGAAAAAAAGCGCAAGGCATACTGTGCGTTCGATGTGTTTGAGATTTTGTGTATGTGATGTGAGATTTTCCAGCGGGCACGAAGAGGGGTGAGAAAGACCGGAATTTAACTTTTTTAAGGGAGTGTGATTGCCCCGAATCAATGATCCCCCGCATGGTGCGGGACCTCGAGGCCGCATGGTGCGGCGGATGAGAAAATGGACAGTTTGCCTGAGAAAAAGGGTTCGAGGAAGGTTCCTCTTGTGAAAAACGCCAGCGTCAAAAGGGGTGTTCGGCTGGCATCCCATTATTGTCTGGTTCGGTGTTGATCCGCTTATATCGAGCCTAGATAACCTTTCGCGCGCTTATCAAAGAAGGTTCCAGGGTGGTCGGTTTACTGTAGCCCATACGGGGGAACCATTTTTTAATGCCTGCCGAACAGGGCCTAGGTCTTGTGATTGTCAGGTATTGTCATTGTTAGGATGAAGCGCGAGTCTGGTTGTTCAGTCCTTGAATAATGTAGTTGTCACTCCTTGTAGTGTGGGATTTTTTTGACAAGCCAAAGACCTATACGTTTAATCCTTGTTCTTGTCCTATTTATTCTGGTCCGTCTCAGCTTTACATTTTATTCCGCTCGAAATGTCGTCACAGCCTCACACGCGAGCGGCTAAGCCGAGCGGCGTCGCTCTCGGGAGTCGCGCACGAGAGCCTAAAGTCAGTCGCGGACGTCGCATGCGACATCAAGATGCAGAGGATCCCGGTTCTCCGTCATTCTACGCCACTCGTTCACTCGGAAGCAGACCCATGCTTTCCACCACCCAATGCTGCTCCATCCTCGTTATCATCATCTTCGCTTTCGTTTCCGGCGCGGTCATTGTCCTCCAGTTAACGGAACATCGCAGCATGTCTTCCGCACTCGCGAAGCTCCAGCAAACTGGAACCGGCATTGGAAACCACGCGTTGATCGCGCTGAAGCTTCGCCTTCCGGGGAAGAAAGTGGGGAGCTTAACGGCGGATACGCACCACCATGTGAAGCATCTGTTTGAACAGCGATTCCTGTACTATGGGGATATGATCGACTCCACAACTTCCGACTGCGGTAGCGTCAACGAACAGGTACTTGAATTGAAAGAAATAATTGAATCTGTCTTGCAACGAGATTTCCGTAGTACGGCTGTATCAGCAATCTTTTGCATCTTCGCATTTGATCTGCATTCCTCCTGACCCGTCTCATTTGAACTGCATTATTTCCCGCACTCCCCGCATTCGATATAAATTTGCGTTCTTGCGTCGTCTTCATTTTACCCGTCTCGCTCTTCGCTCTTTTCAACCCTCGTCTCTCCTCCCACTTGGCATGCTGCGCAAGTCGCAAATTGCTTCTTTCCTCTTACTTTCGTGTTGATCACAATCGCAACTTATCACCCACGACTCACGCGATTGTCTAGATCGTTTGCCTACTTACTCTCCGTGCATTCGCGGTTCTCATGCTGCACATGATCCGGCAATCCGCCTTCCGTTTTCACAAGAACCAACGGCTCGTACCACGAGTACCGTGACTGATTGACTTGCTCTTATCGCTTGCCATCGTCCCCTCGTGTGCAGCTTTCCAGCCTGCGGTGTGCGATGGAGGAGGCTATTCTCACCAACAGGTACGGATTTGATCAGCAGTTATACATAACAAACGGGGGGTTGAGAGGAAGGCGGGAAGGGGGAAAGTGGAAGGGGAGGGGGGGCCATGTTATGGGGTTGTGAGGCTTCGGAGTGACTTGCGAGTTGGGCCAGAAGTCAGCATGGTAGCTTGCGGTGTGCAATGAAGTGGCTCTTCTCACCAACAGGTACGGAGCTGACTAACAGGTACTGTGCTGACTAACAGGTACGAAGCTGACTAACAGGTACCGTGCTGAGCGACAGATAGGGTGCTGACCGGCAGGTACGGTGCTGACTGACAGCTATGTTGCTAAGCTAGACCGAGTGAAGCCGAGCCAGACAAACTTAGACAGAGTTAAGCCGAGTTCGACAGGCCGAAACAGCGCAAGATTCAGCAGTAGCAGTTAGAAAATTGAATGTAGGAAACCTGAAGGCATCAAGCTAAGGGATGAGATAAAGCTTTTGGAATAATGAGGCCAAACAGAAGCGAACAACAATGCATTTTGCAGGTGTATGCACTTTCAGAGGAGTCTACGCTGTAAGTGTAAAGAATTTGATGTCCAAAGTGTAATGCGTGATGTACCTCATAAACATGTACAATGAAGCTGGTCGCAGCCTACAGTAGATGCGGTAGGTTCTTGTTTCGTTTTTAGTATGGGGCAATAAATAATTTCAGTGCTTGAGTGAAGCTATGAGGACATTTTATATTACAATTTACAATTGCACAAATGAACACATTGCCTTGCATGCATTGTTTCAGTTCTTGACAAGCAGCATGCGCAACGCAGGGAGCAGTTGAAGGCATGCAATCATAATATTCTGTCGTCTACTCAACCATTCTCACATCATTCTGATCCCCATTGCTCTCCACTAGATACCTTATCCTGACGGGTGCTATATTCCTCTCACTCCATGCCTCTTACCCGCATTCCCATGGTGTCAATCCCGGTGTCATCTTGATGCCACTGGTGGTGTCAATCTCTGTGTCATCTTGGTGTCGACCAGAACGTTCGTGCTGCCTCGCCACATCTGCATCCGCCCTGCATTCAACATTGATGCTGCCAGGATGTGAGCGCCTCCTTGCTTCCTTCCTTCCTTCCTTTCTTCCTCCCCCTTCCTTCCTCCTTCCTTCCTCCCTTCCTTCCTCCCTTCCTCCCTTCCTTCCTTCCTTCCTTCCTTCCTTCCTTCCTTCCTTCCTTCCTTCCTTCCTTCCTTCCTTCCTTCCTTCCTTCCTTCCTTCCTTCCTTCCTTCCTTCCTTCCTTCCTTCCTTCCTTCCTTCCTTCCTTCCTTCCTTCCTTCCTTCCTTCCTTCCTTCCTTCCTTCCTTCCTTCCTTCCTTCCTTCCTTCCTTCCTTCCTTCCTTCCTTCCTTCCTTCCTTCCTTCCTTCCTTCCTTCCTTCCTTCCTTCCTTCCTTCCTTCCTTCCTTCCTTCCTTCCTTCCTTCCTTCCTTCCTTCCTTCCTTCCTTCCTTCCTTCCTTCCTTCCTTCCTCCCTCCCCTCCCTCCCTCCCTCCCTCCCTCCCTCCCTCCCTCCCTTCCTTCCTTCCTTCCTTCCTCCCTCCCTCCCTCCCTCCCTCCCTCCCTCCCTCCCTCCCTCCCTCCCTCCCTCCCTCCCTCCCTCCCTCCCTCCCTCCCTCCCTCCCTCCCTCCCTCCCTCCCTCCCTCCCTTCCTTCCTTCCTTCCTTCCTTCCTCCCTCCCTTCCTTCCTTCCTCCCTTCCTTCCTTCCATGCAATGCACTCCCCTTTAGAGGCGCCTCTAAACTCGCCACATCTGCATCCGCCCAGCTTTCAACATCGACGCTGCCAGGATGTGAGCGCCTCCTTCCTTCCTGCACTGCATTCCGCCCCATTGTTTTCCTGTCATGGACTCCTCCCTCCATTCACATCACACACACACACGCCTTATCGATGCCTCTCCCACCGATTCATGCTTCTCACATCCTTGGTAATGCATGTTTCCCACCTCCCATGCTCCCATACTGTCCTCAAACCCCTTCCACCTCTTCCACCCTCCTTCCCAACCTCTCACCCCCCTTCCCTCGCCCCAATCTATCTGTCATCCCATCCCATTCCGTCCCGTCCCGTTGCGTCCCCTCCCCTCCCCACCTCTTCCTCCTCCAGTAAGCCGATTCTCATGTGCAGCATTCCCCCTGTCACTTCGTTCAGCATACCCTCGCCTCAAGAGGACTTTTTTTCCTCAAAGCCTCTCTGCACACCCCCTAAATTGATTGCTCTCGCCCCCTGATTCCTTGCTTTCGCCTCCTGACTCCCCGCCTCCCTGCCACAGAGTGAACACATCTCAAACGGAGATGCTTTTAGAGGATCTCTTTGATCCCAAAGCATGGCGCAGAGACATACCATGCCCATGTGACGCCTCCCACTCCCCTCACCCCATCTCTCCCTGCATCACTCCATCAGAGTGAACACATCCCAAACGGAGATGCTTCTAGAGGATCTCTTCGACCTTAAAGCCATCGCCAAAGCTTTGCCTAAGGGCCTCGTCTTTGCTGACTCTGACGACTGGAAACAGACTCTCGCCGTCGCCCAGGACGCGCAAACCCTGGCGGACGCACGGAAGAAAATGTCTGCTGGGAAGGAGGGAGGGGAGGGTGGGGGAGCGGGTGGGGGAGGGGGAGCGGAGGAGGAGGAGGAGGACGAGACGCCGGCGCAGTATTTGGTGGTGGAGGATGGGAGTGTGAGTTGGAGGGAGCTTCGGGACGTGCCTGATTATGCCGAGGCTAAGATTGTGCATCGGAAGGATGACCGACCCTGGTGAGTGTGTGGTTAAGAGCGTTGGGGGATTGTGAATAGGAACGCAGAGCTTGAGGTGTTGTGTTGGTGGGCGGATGGGGGAGTGGGGATGGTTGAAGCAGTGATGTTTAAAGGAGGAGAGAGAATCGTCATTAAAGGGGCTGACTTTTGAGTCGACTCAAAAGTCAGGAGGAGAGAAAATCGTCATTAGAGGGATGGTAGGGAGGGTTGTTGTGACGGGGGAAATTGTTTCACTTGGAACATACAGCTTTTTACTTCTCTTTTCTCTCACTTTCTTCCCCCTACCTCCCCCCACTTTCTCTCCTCCTTCTCACCCCAACATGCACGCACACACACTGTCACACACCCACACCGACGTTAACAAACTCACTCACTCACTCACTCACCTGCTCACTGTCTCACTGTGGCAGGAGGAGGGCGTGTGAAACGCGGTTCAACGGCACAGCAGTGATCTACCATGGCCCGCCCTTTGCCAAATACATCCGCGACCTAGCCATGCAGGTGGGCTGACCTGTGGGTGGGTGGTGAGGCGCTACCATGCAGGTGGGTGGGTGGTGAGGCCTTGCTTCTCTGGTGGGTAGGTGGGTGAAGCACCTCAGTAACCGGGTTCAACGGCACTGCAGTAATCTACCATGGCCCGCCCTTTGCCAAATACATCTGCGACCTCGCCATGCAGGTGCGTGGGTGATGAGACCTCATCATTCAGGTGAACTGAGTTGCGGTCTGGAAAGGGGTTTCCCTTCCCTGTCAAGCTGGTGGGTGGTTGATGCAAGTGTGAAGCAGGGCGGTTTTGTATTCCTGCACATCACCACCGCAACACAGTTTTGAGACGTCTCAACAAAGACATCATAAGTGAACATCCTCTTCTTTCTTGCTCCCCACCAGTTATCAAAGACACTGGGTCATTTTGGTTTCCTGCTCCTGCGCCGACACAACACGGACATCATGCAAAACCCCCCTCTTTTCTTCCACCCATCCCACCCCATGTTCCTGCCCTCTTCACCTGGCCATCAGCTATCTGAGAAGCTGGGCCATTTCGTTTTCCTGCATGTGCGCCGGCACAACACGGACATCATGCGGGACGATGCCTCGTACCTGCGCTGCCGGCACCTCGACCGCGACACACGTGTCCCTGCCATCCGGAGACACGTCATGTGAACGCAGTCGTTCACTTCCTCCGTTAAACTCCCCAAACCCCCACTCTCCCCCCCCCCCCCTCCTTTCCCGCTCTCGTGTTACTGCGTGCTTCTCCTCCCAATACAGCTATCTGAGAAGCTGGGCCACTTCGTTTTCCTGCACGTGCGCCGGCACAACACGGACATCATGCGGGACGACGCCTCTTACCTGCGCTGCCGGCACCTTGACTGTGTGAACCCAGCCTACCCTCTCCCTCTCTCCCCCCCTCCCCACCACCAGCTATCTGAGAAGCTGGGCCATTTTGTCTTTCTGCACGTGCGCCGGCACAACACGGACATCATGAGGGACGACGCCTCTTACCTGCGCTGTCGGCACCTCGACCGTGACACACGTGTGCCAGCTATCCGGAGGCACATCTGGCGCCTTATACCTGAAAACAGCACTCTCTATATTGCCACAGACGAAGTCAACCAGGGGTTCTTCTCAGGCCTCAAGCAGTGGTGAGTCTACTAGGGGTCCAGGTGCTTCATACAGGCAGATGTCTTGAAAACAGCACTTTCTACATCGCTACTTTCAACCAGAGGTTCGTCTCGGCCCCCAGGCAGTGGTGAGTTTACTTGGAGGGTTGCGAGTTCTTGAGCTGTTGTCAGAGGGTTTTTACCCAACTCGTCAGGCTTTGAGCAATGGTGAGCCTACTTGTATTTTCTGGTGCTTGATCCTGAATGGGATTGAATCTGAACCATATGCTCTTGGATCATGCGTGACTTACTAACAAAAAGTTGCATCCTTTTGTGCCTTCTCAAACTAGCCCATCACTAAAATCCCAAACCCTGTTCCCAACCGTATACCAGGTATGACATTCGCCTTGCTCGGAGCTTTGACCATATCCTCAAAGGCAAGGTCACCAACAACTACCAGGTGTTTGCCATTGAGAAGCACCTCTCCAAGTTTGCATCCTTCTTTGTAGCCACATTCTGTGATGAGGCTGACTCCTATGGTTGGCTTGGCCTCCATGCTTTCTACTGCCTATGCCAAGACTACCAGGAAGGTAGACGCGCGCAAACAATCAAGGACACGTCAGCTGGGTGATTAGCAACTACGTAGAATCCGGCCAAGCTAGAATAAGGTACACATTTTTCTACCTGCCTGTTATGGATTTGTAAGCTGTGCAACTAATACAGTAAATCATTCGGTACTGCCCAGGTTCACTGTTTCTGGCATTCCGGCAGGATAAGGTCAAACTGTGAGGTGAAGAGTGGTGGTTGGTGCACATGTGCGGCAAGCATTCGTTTGAGGTTGCGGCAAAGCCCACCAGGAGGTTCGGGAGATATTCGCCTATTTGGCACATGCGGATTCGTCCATCTGATCCCACGTCATCAACATGTTGGAGCTCATTCATTTGGCCAAAGGGCGCCGCCTTCGACGTTCGCGTCCCTTCGCATAAATCAGCAGCCGCTAAGCATTGATTGGCTGACAAATGTTTGCAGCTCCTTCAGGCTCGGCATCGAGCGCGAGCCTAGGCGAGAAAAGGCGAGGCGGGTGAGGCCAAGGGCGCATGAGCCAAGGTGTGGATGAAAACGAATCTTTTGTTCGGGTGTGATCGTCGCGGGGCATCATTCCAAGGGACACTGGGCCAACAACCTCACTCTCATCGCACAAAACTTGACGAAAGTCGTTAGGTACACCATCGCTCCATCCTAACCGTACGTATTTTAATCCGACGACGGCTGGTGCGCCGTCATTTCGTCGCCGCTGTACGATGCCTCTCGGCTCGATCCACAGCAATCGTTGTTCCGCCTCCCCCTGCACCAGGGATGTCAGGTTGTACATTTCTCCCACACGGTATCGTAACTCAAGACGGTTCCACACGGTACAAAACGGTTTGCCAGGCTTACCGTTTTGCACCTTGACGAAACGGAGTTGACCGCAGTGAGCGTCCAGAATGTTGTACAACCCGACCTCGCCCTAAACTCAAATTCCTCGATTCTTCCATTCCATCTCTTTCCTCTTCCCTTTCCTCTTCCTGCTGATTTCAGCACAGCAGAGCACCAGCACAGCACAGAACGGCAGCAAGCCAGTCCCTGTCAGGAAGGCCAAAAGCACGTCTAGCGCGCGTGACTCCACCACGAAGCTTTCCCTGACTACACTGGTTGAACGTGCTGTGCGCTGAAGTGCTGTGCTGCGCAGCCTTGCGATCCCTACTGTTACGACTCGAAAATGGCGGGCGCGGTTCAAGGTGCTGCCGTATTCGGTGCAACATCTAGCCTTCCTTCGCATGTTCACCGCTCTTCCTCTTGCAAACCGACTGCTCTACCAAAATCATTTCAAACTCCAGACTTCCCTCGCCTGATCAAGCTCTCACAGCAACATTACCACCAACAGCAGCACCACCGGTCGTCGATCTCCTGCCGAGCCACCGTCTCTCAGGACCCGGCAACCCTCTCCTCAATACGGGACGCCGTTAACGGTAACGTTAACGTCAATGCGGAAACCGATGCCGTCCCGTCGTCTCCCCTCAGCTACGACTCACCGCCTGCCGCTCAAACCGGCAACGGCGCGTCCCCGGAGTTCCCGCAACCCGTGTCTGGGTTGTCGTTTTCCGAGCGCAAATTCGGACCGTTGGCGGAGGTGCCTCCGGAGGAATACGATTTGGCGGTGGCGGAGCGCGCGGTGCAGCTGTCTTGCCGGCTGACGCAGCGCGTGCAGGACCAGCTGCGACGCGCGGAAGACGTCGCGCGGTCGAAGAAGGACAAGTCGTTCGTCACCGTCGCAGGTGCGTGCGACGACTGACGAGTGGACAACTTTGAGAAGTAAAACAAGCGTGACAGTCTCCCTTATGCCGAATGCTCGGGTGCGCGAGTACGGAGTGCACGAGTTGGGAAGTACGTGAGTGTGAGCGTGAGTGTACAAACAGCGTGTCAGTCTCCATTGTGATTTGTTCTGTCGAAGTCTGTTGGTGAGAACAACGAAACGAACTTATAGGGCAGGACTATCGCAAAAGCGTTTGGCGGGTGTCGTGTCAAAATCTTCGTTAGAATCACTGTCAATCTCCGTTACAGCCACTGTCAGTCTCCGGTGCAGTCATTGTCACCGTCTCCGTTATAGTCACACACAAAAATCAGCTGCGACGGATAGTCAGTGACTCTGTCAACGCCGTCCGTCAACTTACTTCCTTCCTTCAATCCCCTGCCTCCAGTCCATTCCCAACAGTGACATTATGACACTGGAAGCGCTCCACTCCCTATCTCCTCCCTCCACTCCCTATCCCCTCCCTGCCCTCCACTCCGGGCGTTATCAAGTTATCATTCTCGCTCCCCTCTTCGCTCCCCCACCCCCACCGCTCCCCTCTCCGCTCCCCCACTCCCACCTCTCCCCTCTCCGCTCCGTTCTCGTACTCCCCTCCTCGTCCTACCAGACTGGGGAGTGCAGGCGGTGGTGAGCTGGGTGCTCAAGCAGGCGTACTCGGATGAGCCCATCTCCATGGTGGCGGAGGAAGACACCAAGGAGCTCACCGGCCACGCGGGCGTTGCAGTCCCACTCCCCTCTCCGTCCCCTTTTCCCCCCTCCGCCCCCCCTTTTCCCCCCCTCCCCTGCGCGCCAGACTGGGGAGTGCAAGCGGTCGTGAGCTGGGTGCTCAAACAGGCGTACACCGACGAGACCATCTCCATGGTGGCGGAGGAAGACACCAAGGAGCTAACCGGCCAGGCCGCCTGCTCTCCTCACCCCTCACCCCTCTTCCACCCCTTTTCCTACTCCCTCCCGTCGCTCCCCTCCTCGAGCCAGACTGGGGAGTGCAGGCGGTGGTGAGCTGGGTGCTGAAGCAAGCCTACCCCGACGAGCCAATCTCCATGGTGGCGGAGGAAGACACCAAGGAGCTCACTGGCCAGGCGGGCGTGGCCGTGCTGCAGCGCCTCGTGCAAACCGTCAACGAGTGCCTCGCGGAAGCCGCCCTAGTCGGGATCCCCCCGCCCGAAGCGCCGCTCACGGCGGTGCAGGTGCTGCAGGCGATCAGCCGCGGGGGGTCGGAGGGGGGCGCGGAGGGGCGGCACTGGGTGTTGGATCCCGTAGACGGGACGTTAGGGTTTGTGCGGGATGATCAATACGCGGTCGCGCTCGCGCTGCTGCAGGACGGGCAGCTGAAAGTCGGCGCGCTGGGCTGCCCGAATTTTCCGGTCAGGTCGGGGTGGCTCCGGCACCCGCACCGGTTCCACCGGCTGACCGCGAAATATTTCCCGCCGACCAAGTGGCATAAGGGGTTTGTGCTGAAGGCGCAGAGGGAGGGTGGTGCGTGGATGGAGTCGCTGGTGGAGATTGGGAGGGATGGAGGGGCGTTGAGAGCGGTTCCAGTGCCGGTTAGGGTTTCGCCTGTGCGGGATGCAGCGCTGGCGACGTTTTGCGAGCCGGTGGAGAAGGCAAACTCGAACCAATCGTTCACTGCTGAGCTGGCAGACACGCTCGGCATCAGGTGAGGCTTGGAACGGGGGACGTTGGGGCTGGTGGGGAAGTGGGGAAGGAGAGCAAGGAGAGGAAGGGGAGTAGTGGGTTTGGTTCTGGTGGGTCATGAACGATTGCATTCAAGGGCATCAAACAAAGAAGGGCCAGTGTGCTTGGCTCTGTGATTGGAAGCCCTCACTTACACAGGGGAGTAGAAAAGAAACAAAAAGAAAGATGCAATCGGACCTGCTCTTTATGCCCCTTTCCGACCCATCCCCCCCCCCCTCCTCCCTTCTCTCATATCCTATCCCCCTTCCTCCTTCATCTTCCCCCCTCTCCCTGTCCCTGCCTCCCCATAAACCCCGTCCAATCTGCACGGAACATCTCCGAGTGTACATTTGCACAGGGCGAAACATGAATCTTCATGAAGCGAAACTATGGTGCAATTCACCAGTTTCTTGTCTCCCCTCCCCCCCTGACCCCTTCCTTCTTTCCCCTGTTCCCCCTCCCTTTTTCCCCTCCTGTCACTGATTCTTTACTTCCCTCCTCCTCTCCCCCCCTCCCCCGTCCAGCAAAGAGCCTCTCTGTGTGCACAGCATGGTTGAGTATGCTGCCATTGCACGGGGCGACGATGAGACCTTAGTATGAAGCAAAATGAGTCCAATGTCTCCCTGTCTCCCCGTATCCCCCTCCCTACCCCCAAACCGGCCAGCAATGAGCCTCTCCGGGTGTACAGCATGGCCAAGTATGCCGCCATTGCGCGGGGCGACGCTGAGATCTTCATGAAGTTCGCACGTGGCAGCTACAAGGAGAAGATCTGGGACCATGCAGCAGGCGTGATTATAGTGGAGGAGGCGGGCGGCGTGGTGACAGATGCGGGTGGCAACCCCTTGGATTTTAGCAAGGGGAGGTTTCTGCTGGGGCTGGACCGAGGGATCATGGCGACCAATGGCCCGGATATGCATGAGCAGCTGCTGAGCACTGTAGATGCTAGCTGGAGTGCTTCTCGGCTGTAATGTAACCGTTTTCACAACACATTGGGCGTGTCGTTACAGAGAAAGGGCCTCTGTGTGTGGCCTGGGGTGTGTGATTTGTGATCAGCCTTAACAAAATATTGTTGGGTTGACTGAAGATGTAAAGTCTGTGCTCCATTGAGAACGGTACTGAATTGTAGTAAACTATCCTAAATGTTCCCATCGCTTCAGCTGTGGAGTAGGGGAAACGAATATGCTAAAAAAATAAGTGGCGAAAAGTAGTTGTGAAATGTAGATGTTCATGGTGCATCCGTTCTTTATTGTGTATGTGAGTCCTTTAGGGCACAAATCTCGGTTCTTCTAGCTTTGAAGTCTTTCAGAGCGGTAATGTGCGAGATTGGTGAAGTACTTTCAAAACAGCACACACCCCTCCCTAACAATGTTGAATTCGCGGCTAGTGGCACTTAGCTGCCCGAAGTGATATTCCCAGTTTGTTAGGCTGGGAATTGCGGACAATTCGAACTGCGATCTCATTTTCCCAGTGCGGGTTTGCAAATGCAATCTTTTCGGGCAGAACCATGCGGCTACCCGTGTTTAGGTTTGGGGCTCCCCGTGTTTAGGGTTGGGGCTCCCCTAATCGCATGCCATCCAGATGGGGTTTATTTTTTTCTGACCGCGGGCAGATTACGACCATTAGCTTCTTCCAGGGGGACTGTTAGGGATCGCATTTGCGAACCGCGCTGGCCTAATTGGATTGCAGCTGATGTTGTCCCCTGGGAATTGACATTTCAACCTGAGCGAGCTGTAGCGATTCGTCAGTTCGTTCCCAAGCCACACAATGCACGAGCCTCCAAAAAGCTGTGCGACTCTGTTGCGCATTACGACTGGTCCGTTCGAAGCGATGGCACATTCGAGGCTATTGTGCGAACAAATCAAGCGTCGAGAAGCATTTGAGGCGATTATTTCTGGGATCCGCGACGATTGCGAACGTCGCAAGCATCGCCTGACCAGGTGGAAACCTAAACCTCCAAGGCGGCAATAGCGGAACTCTTGGCCGCGCCAACAACCGAAGCGCTTGAGGCAATCACGCGAAACGGGCTCCGCGGTGCGCACAAGTGATCCGCGCGTGTCTCCCCCCTGCCTCTCGCGGAAGGCAAATCTCCTGATCATATCAAGCTATGCCACGTCACCTCCTCCCGCAGCACGACAGCCATTGACATCTGTCGTACCTCGATCCAGACCGATGACGAACCTCATTGTCAACCCCTTACCAGACTAGATGTGTTTGCTTGGCAAACGGGGACCCTCATCGGACCGTTCACGCATAATCTCCTCCATCATCCCCTGCTGTCCGATTGAGAATTATGGGCAGGAGCAGTATCACCGCGTTCAGGTTATCCCTATCGGACCGTCCACCGCAAACGCACAGCACTCCGCATGACGATCCTAAGGTGAATATCTTCCTCCAACGACCAACTCTAGCCAACCAACCACCAGCATGCCACTTCAACCAAACCAAACTACCGGCCGGACTAACCAACCAGCCTCGGGGTTAGTTGGAACCATGTACGGGTCTGGCACCTCCATCCATCCATCCAGCTCCAGTCGTGCTGGGCGGACGAGAGGGGACTCGTTGGGACTTGGGGGAACCCCAGGCCAGGAAAAGGTTCGACGGGACTTGGGGGCACCCGCGGGCTTGGGCGTAGGGGGAAAACCAGGGGACTCGTAAGTAGAAGGCGGGAGTTGGGGTGGTCGGGACAACTGTGGGACTCGGGATTCAGGGAAACCCGGAGAATCGGGGTAGGGGGAAATCTCGGAGCGGAGGCAGGGGGACTTTGGGGGACTCTGGGGGGAGCTCTCGGGAATGCACCACAGCGCATCTCCCCCATCCCATCCCTCGGTTCCTCCATCCACCCGACTCCAGCCCAGCCCGGCTCCACTTGAAAAACCCCAACGAGTCGACTCGACTTCTCACAAAGCGACTCCGTACGCCTACAGCGGCTCGCTTGAGAGAAACGCTCCTCCAACCCCCCTCCCACTCTCCCTGCCTGCCTTGGCCTCTCTAGGGAAGACCCTTGGCTCCCAGTGGACCCACCGACCCGCGTTATCCGCTGCTTATTCCAACTCCAGAAATTAGGCGGCGCCTCTAATTTGTATGTTTATTGTTTTGATTGATCGCCATGGCGGCTGGCTGTTTTAGGGATCTGTTTATCGTGACGCGCTTGAGCTTTTGCCTTCGAGACCTGAGACCTAGATCTTTGCCAGTTGAAGCATTTGATGTTCTTTTCTGGTTGTTGGTCAGCCCCTCTTTATTCCATGAATGATTTTGCCTGAACATCGTTCATTTTCACCCCCTTTTTTTCCCTTTCTCTGCAGGTTCTTTGATCGCGGTTTTGTCCCAGATCTTGGTGTTTCCGTTTCTTCTAGAATTATTTCTGTTTAAGGAGTCGCCATCATGTCGGCTCCTGACCAACAAGGGCAAACGGAGGAGTATGCAGGCAATCCCATCCCGATGACGCCGCATCAGATGGCGTTGCTTCTTGAAGAGATTGCCAAGCTCGACACGGAGAGATTGATTCTTGAACCCGGCGTCATGCTAGCCGATACGGGCACTGTTCTTAATCTTAAGTAAGGCTCTGTCCTCGTCGTGGACTTCTTCGGCTGATTGTTTTTCCTACACTTGGCCTGCCCGCCTGATGCCAACATGCCGGCTTTTACGAGGAAGCTAAATTTGTGTTATGTTCCAGTTCCTTGTTTGTCCTCCTCGTATATTCAATTCATCGCTGCGTTAGATCTTGGTCCTTTCATCCATTGTTTTTCAGCGTCTCACTCCCACCATCCCTATCCTGTATGAATTAATCGCCTTCCTACGCGTATGTTTGTGCTTCTTCTGTCCCGTTGCAGTCTGATTCGACAAAAGGCCCTCAGTCCCGCCTACACGCTACCAGAGATGCTAATGGATCTAAATTCCATCTGCGAGCCTTTTCTGAACCAGAGCCCGAGCCACGCGCAATACGCCAAAGGCTTTCTCGAAAACGCAAACGAGGCAATTGTTATCGCTGTCAGAGACGCGCAGGTAAGTTCGGCCGGCTATCCGGCAGATGGAACCGTTCCCGTCGCGAACGGGGATCCGAACCAACAGCAAGGTCACGTGCAATATGCGCAGCCCGGACAAGATCCACAGCAGCAGTATCAGCAGCAGCCGCAATATCAGCAGCAGCCGCCGCAGTACCAACAACAACCACAGCAATACCAGCAGCAGCAGCCACAGCAACCGCAGTACCAGCAGCAGTATCAGCAACAACCGATGCCGCCTCAACAGCAGCAGTACCAGCAGCAACCGCCGCCGCCACAGCAACAGCAACAGTACGTGCAGCAGGACGGCAGCATGTACGCTCCACCAAACGGAATGGTAAACCAGCAGAACGGACAGGGAATGAACGGGACGGCCGGCAACTCTTGGGTGATGCAAGTCGTTGGAGAAGACGGTAACGGTCAGATGCAGCCTGGCGGCGTGATGCAGAATCAACACCACCAGCAGCAGCAGATGCCACATCAGCATCAACAGCAAGCGGGTTACCATCACCAACAAAACGGCATGGTGCAGCAAGGGGGGCAGATGGTGGGTTACCAGCAGCAACACCCGCAGCACCAGCACCAGCAGCCACACCATGTGGGTATGGCTGGCGGTCCCCCCATGGCTAACGGTCCCGGCGGAATGCCCGAAGCAGTAGGCGACTCGTCTTTCGTTGGTAAGAAACGCCAGCGGATGGATAAACCCGGCGGCCCGGGCGCGCCGCCGATGAAGGCCGCGTCGGGCGCGCCTCGGTCGCGCGTGGAGGGGCGGCGATGCGAGGTGTGCGCGGTGATTAAGAAGGCCGGGTGTGGCACGGAAAACGCGCACTTTCGGTGCCTGAAGCGGAAGCTTCCGGAAGGCGCGCAGGAGCTAGAGCGGAGAGTGGGAGAACTGGTAGACGTGGGGAAGGAGGAGCGAGTGACGGTGTGGAATCCCAAGGAGGGGAGGAAGCTAAGCGGTCAGGCGGCTCCTATGCTGAAAAACCTGGTCGGGTGGCTGGCGAGTCATCCTGGTTGGGAGGCGCACCCACGAGGGTCTAGCCCTGTTGCAAGGTTAGATTCTTCTGCTGGTCCTGTTGCTGCTGCCCCTTTTGTTGCATCACGTGCTGTTGTTTCCAATGTTGCGTGAGCATGTAGGTCTGCCTATCTGGTCTGTCAGTTTTAGTGTGGGAAGTATTGTCTTTTTTAGTGTAGTGATTTTTGTGAAGAAGATAAGCAGAAATTGCTATTTGGTATGCGTTTTCTCATCTGAGAGCCTTCAAACAGTGCACTGTCAGCCAGCCTTCCCACTCATGCCTCAACTGCCTGCCTTTTCTCCCATCACTGCACCTGCCCCGCTTATCCACTCCTCTCGCCCTCACACCAGAGCTCTAATACCTCTCTGTCCTCTGTTTCCTCTCTGTCCTCTGTTTCCTCTCTGTCCTCTGTTTCCTCTCTGTCCTCTGTTTCCTCTCTGTCCTCTGTTTCCTCTCTGTCCTCTGTTTCCTCTCTGTCCTCTGTTTCCTCTCTGTCCTCTGTTTCCTCTCTGTCCTCTGTTTCCTCTCTGTCCTCTGTTTCCTCTCTGTCCTCTGTTTCCTCTCTGTCCTCTGTTTCCTCTCTGTCCTCTGTTTCCTCTCTGTCCTCTGTTTCCTCTCTGTCCTCTGTTTCCTCTCTGTCCTCTGTTTCCTCTCTGTCCTCTGTTTCCTCTCTGTCCTCTGTTTCCTCTCTGTCCTCTGTTTCCTCTCTGTCCTCTGTTTCCTCTCTGTCCTCTGTTTCCTCTCTGTCCTCTGTTTCCTCTCTGTCCTCTGTTTCCTCTCTGTCCTCTGTTTCCTCTCTGTCCTCTGTTTCCTCTCTGTCCTCTGTTTCCTCTCTGTCCTCTGTTTCCTCTCTGTCCTCTGTTTCCTCTCTGTCCTCTGTTTCCTCTCTGTCCTCTGTTTCCTCTGTTCTCCTTTCTCCCTCGCTCCATGCCTCGTCATAACAGGAAGGTGACAAACAACGGATCATCCGGACCTCCTCCCCAGGCTCCCCCAGCGGGTCATCATCTCGCCCATGCCCCCGCTCCTCCTGCTTCCGTGCCTGTGCACGTGCCCATGCCTGTGCCTGTTTCTCAACAAGACCCCATTCCCTCTCGAACATAAGCGCGGGGCCATCTCACTTCGCTTTAGAGGCGTCTGGAGGCGGTTCTGAGGGAATCGATTTGTTTCATTTGTTAAGGCGCAACTCAAATGGGACGACGGGGTTCGTTGGAAGATCCCGACTTGTCACTGTTGTGTCGTCTCGTCACATCAGCTGCTGATTGCTGTCACCTGAGGGTTGTGGCGTGCAAGTAGGGGAACTCTGGATGGGTAGAATGCGGTGGGTTAAGGTGAAGTACTGTAACAGCTGGATGGGAGAAGGTTTGGCTGAGGGTTGGGTCTGGTTGGAGATTGACTCATGCTGGTGGGTGGGATGTTGCCTGCCTGGCATGGCTCTGTCTAGTTTTGTGCACATGGCTGTTGTTACATGTTACATGTTGTAACTGATGTTACACTTGGAAGCTGGTGTGTATGTTTCAGCCAATGTGGTTGGTTGGCTAATTAATGTGATGCTATGTCTTACACTTTCACTTCAATGGCCAGAAACCACAAAAAGAGATATCATCCGTAACCAGTGCAAGACCAGCAGTGTGGTAAAAAACTGTTACCGTTTTCACACTAAAGAATTATAAACATCAAAGCAAATGGTTCCATGAAGTACGCCAATAAGGTCAGAAGTCCTCATCGTTGGCTGTAGGCAGAGTGACAGGCACGGCCCATCTGCCGAGATGAGCAGTGTAGTTGATACACCTCACCACACCCTGCCCCACCACCCCTGCTGCTATTTCTGCTGCGCTGTTCCCCTTATTGTCAGACTCGTTACTGTCCTTGGGCTCACCAACACCATCAGGGAAATCAACAACGGTGATGCTCCCAGGATCGAGGCGGAAGCTTCCCAGAGCATCGTGAGGAAGCTTCAGGCACGAAGCAAGCATTGCTTGAAACACTGTCTCGTGCCCCACCACAATAACAGTTTCAGATCGCTCAATAGGGGGACTTCCTGGCCCCGCTGCTGCCACATCAGCACCTGCACTTGCTGATGTGGCACGCTCCACTTCTGCCAGATGGCGGCGAATGACAGTCCATGCCTTCTCAGCGCGGCCCCATAGGGACGGCAGAGATTCTCCGTTGGGAGGAGGGGAGGATTTGATTTGATCCTCCCAGCGCTCATGTGCTGATACCTCTGCCATCATTGCTCCCTGGAGAAAATGAGTGGTGCAACGGGAATCGTGATTTCACATAAGGATGCTTTACTGAAAGGGGTGGTAACACAATGACATCTTGCAAGCACCCCGTAACCAAACACAATGACACCTACACGCACTCGGCTCACCTGCCATGCCCCCTGTAGTCCAGCTCTGTCAACTCCTCCCCTGCTACCTGTTTTTGAGTCGGCTCAAATAATCTTGCAAGCACCCTGCAACCAAACACAACAACGCCTACACGCACTCGTCTCACCTGCTATGTTTGTAGTCCAGCTCTGTTAACTCTTCCCCTGCTACCACGTCGACAAACCGCAGCACACAGTTCCTCCCTCTGCCATCATCCAAGCATGCATGCCACAAGGTGACATTTGAGTCGACGCATACGTCACATCATCCAAGCATGCATGCCACAAGGTGCCATTTGAGTCGACGCAGCATACGCCACATCATCCAAGCATGCACTCCACTTGCACACCCACCCCCATCTCACCTGCCATGTGCCGTACTCCAACTCTCTCGGCTCTTCTACATTCACTATGTCTACAAACCGCGGCACACAGTCAACGCCCAGGCACTCCGCAGCCTCCTGCACCTCCACCACCGCCTCTGCCTCCCTGCCAGCCACCCCACCCACCCCTAGCTCACCTGCCATGTGCCGTACTCCAGCTCTCTCAACTCCTCCAAATCCACCAAATTTACAAAGCGCGGCACACGGCCAGCGCCCAGGCACTCTGCAGCCTCCTGCACCTCCACCACCGCCTCTACCATGCGCCGTGCACGCACACAGCCTTCGAGTCGCCTCAAAAGAGCACAGAGCTCACCTGCCATGTGCCGTACTCCAACTCTCTCAGCTGCTACACAGGCACAACATCAACAAACCGCAGGACACAATCAGCGCCCAGGCATTCCGCTGCCTCCTGCACCTCCACCACCGCCTCTGCTGTGCGCATGGCACGGGGCAGCAGCGAGCAGAAGACCGTGTCGACGCGCACGTCCACATGCCCACACTCACACACTCACACACTCACACACTCACACGCCTTCTGTACTACCTCCTATTCGCCCCCGTCTCACCTGCCACGTGCCGTACTCCAAATCCCTGAGCTCTTCCACATTCACCACATCAACAAACCGCGGCACACAGTCAGCACCCAGGCACTCTGCGGCCTCCTGCACCTCCACCACCGCCTCTGCTGTGCGAACAGCGCGGGGGAGCGGCGAGCAGAAGACCTTGTCGACGCGCACGTCGAGCAGCAATTCTGCAGTCTTGCGCGCCTGCACCACGCCCAGCATGCTCAGCTGCTCAAACGGCGACTGCGGGAAGCGGCGCTGCGCTGAGCTGTTGGTGTCCCCGTGGCACACGAGAATGACTCTCGCCTTGGCCTTCCGTCCGCCTGACACCCCTCCTGCCATTACAGGAGGTGCGGGGGTCTGCGGGAGGAGCAGGGGAAGGGGGAGGGTAGGGGAGGCAGCAGGAGAGCACAGGGAGGGGGAGAGAGGGACACGGGGAACGAGGGTGAGAGGCGAGCAGAAGACCGTGTCGACGCGCACTTGCTCGGCGGAGCACTTGCTTCGAGCAGAAGCTCTGCGGTCTTGCGCGCCTGAGGTGAGTGAGGAGAGCGTGTGGCCTGCTGTTGCGGTCTTGCGCGCCTGCACCACCCCCAGCATGCTCAGCTGCTCAAACGGTGACTGGGGGAAGCGCCGCTGCGCTGAGCTGCTGGTTTCGCCGTGGCACACGAGAATCACCCTCGCCCTGGCCTTTCGACCGCCTGACGCCCTGGAAAGAATGGGTGGGGCGGGCATCTGGAAGAAGGGAGACGAGGGGAATGGGGAAGTGGGAAGGAGGAAGAGGGAAAGAGGAGGTGGGGAAGTGATGGAATCCGGGTCTGGGGTTTTGAGACGTCTCAAAACACGTATTCAAGTCTGGTTTTTTTTTTTTTTTTTGCACGCCTGCACCCCACCCAGCATGCTCACCAGTTTCGGGGGGCACCGAGGGAAGCGGCATTAAGAAGAGCTGTTACGACCTTATGATACGTACCAAACACAATAACACAAAGCTTAGAACTTATGGGTGGTTAGACATGGGTTCACACCTGGTTGAGTCTGTTGAGGTCCACATAAGGCAGCAGGTACCCCTCTCCCTCCACGCCTGCTTCTTCCACTGCAGCAGCAGAAGCAGCATCCACAGGCACGCCAGCATGGCTGTGAGCGAGACTGTAGTCGTGCGCCTTGTAAGGAGGCACGGCTACAAACCTGGTTGACTGGATTCGCACCTGGTTGAGCCTATTGAGGCACACATAGGGCAGCAAATACTCCTCTCCGTCCGCCCCTGCTTCTGCAGCAGCAGAAGCAGCATCCACAGGCATGGCACCCCCGGCGTCACTGTGAGCGTGACTGTAGTCGTGCGCCTTGTAAGGAGGCACGGCTACAAACCTGGTTGACTGGATTCGCACCTGGTTGAGCCTATTGAGGCACACATAGGGCAGCAAATACTCCTCTCCGTCCGCCCCTGCTTCTGCAGCAGCAGAAGCAGCATCCACAGGCATGGCACCCCCGGCGTCACTGTGAGCGTGACTGTAGTCGTGCGCCTTGTATGGAGGCACAGTTTCGTCCGGAGTGTGAGTGGGGGCGTGCGGCTTGTAGTGCGGGACAAAGTCCAAAACGCTGACGCCGCAGTTGCTCTGTAGCAAGAGGCGGAAATACTCCGGACCCAGGCCTAGGGGGGAGGTGCATGGGAAGGAGGGCGGGGAAGGTTACTGAAGCGCGTCTGCAAACGTCTCCTCATCACCGTGCGGCTTGTAGTGCGGGACGAAGTCCAAGACGCTGACGCCGCAGTTGCTCTGTAGTAAGAGCCGGAAATACTCCGGACCCAGGCCTGGGGGGAAGGTGCAGGGGGGGAGGAGGGGGTGGGTTGAGGGGAAGTGCATGAGGAGGGGGTTTTGAGTCGACTCAAAACTCGGCTTATCACACACTGCATGATAAGGGGTTGCTGAGGCGCAAAACGCATGGACTCATCCCCCCCACTTGTAGCGAGGGACAAAGTCCAGCCAGCACACTGACACCGCAGTTGCTCTACAGCAAGAGGCGAAAGTTCTCTGGACCCAGGCCTGGAAGGGGAAGGTGCATGGGACGGAGAGTGTGAAAAGGTTACTCAAGCGCTTCAGGAAACGTCTCGTCACGTGCGGCTTGTAGTGCGGGACAAAGTCCAGCACGCTGACACCGCAGTTGCTCTACAGCAAGAGGCGAAAGTTCTCTGGACCCAGGCCTGGAAGGGGAAGGTGCATGGGACGGAGAGCGTGAAAAGGTTACTCAAGCGCTTCAGGAAACGTCTCGTCACGTGCGGCTTGTAGTGCGGGACAAAGTCCAGCACGCTGACACCGCAGTTGCTCTACAGCAAGAGGCGAAAGTTCTCTGGACCCAGGCCTGGAAGGGGAAGGTGCATGGGACGGAGAGTGTGAAAAGGTTACTCAAGCGCTTCAGGAAACGTCTCGTCACGTGCGGCTTGTAGTGCGGGACAAAGTCCAGCACGCTGACACCGCAGTTGCTCTACAGCAAGAGGCGAAAGTTCTCTGGACCCAGGCCTGGAAGGGGAAGGTGCATGGGACGGAGAGTGTGAAAAGGTTACTCAAGCGCTTCAGGAAACGTCTCGTCACGTGCGGCTTGTAGTGCGGGACAAAGTCCAGCACGCTGACACCGCAGTTGCTCTACAGCAAGAGGCGAGCCGGAAATACTCCGGACCCAGGCCTGGGGAATGGGGGGAGATGCCAGGAAGGATAAAGGGGGAGTGAAAAAGTTATGAAGAAAATGGAATCCCAAACATTGAATTTTCACGCAAAGTTACGCAAATTCAAGCATGCTCATGCAGATTCAGGCAGATTCATGCGCATTCAGGCAATCACCTGAATTTTATGCACATTCAGGCACATTGACGTCACATTCATTGACGTCACATTCATTGATGTCACATTCATTGACGTCACATTCATTGACGTCACATTCATTGACGTCACATTCATTGACGTCACATTCATTGACGTCACATTCAGGCACATTGACGTCACCCACCCACCCACCCACCCACGCACCCGGCCACACTCCCCCACCTGTGGCAGTGGCCACTAGCGCCTGGTTGTTAGCATTGTGCGCCACCAGCAGCACTACTGTGCAGGCATATGCGCGCACATACAAAGATACGCATTCACATCCACAAACGCACTGTCACACAGGCACCCACACACCCCACCTGTGGCAGTGGCCACTAGCGCCTGGTTGACAGCATTGTGCGCCACCACCAGCACGGACCGCCCCTCGCTCCTCAGGATTTCCTGCCAGCACGCTGCTGCGCGCGCCCACAGCTCCCTCACGGGGTAGTGCCGGTCAATTTCAAAGTTTGCTGCGTCCTTCTGCCACATGCGGTAATTTTCGCCAAACCTCGCCTTCCCTTCCTCCTTGAACAGACCATGTGGTTGATTGGAGTGGAGTGGGTTGTGCAGAGGTGCAGAACGGTAGGTTTGGTTTGAGGTGGTTTCAATTCAACTGCCTGCGCCCACAGCTCCCTCACGGGGTAGTGCCCGTCAATTTCAAAGTTTGCTGCGTCCTTCTGCCACATGCGGTAGTTCTCACCAAACCGTGTTTTCCCCTCTTCTTTCAGCAATCCCTGTGCCAATATGGTAGGGTAGGGTGGGGTACGGTGCAAAATGGTTTGCAATGGTGGGAGTGAGCATAAAGCACGTAAAAAAACACTGCCGTGGAGAGTGACTGTTTGTTTTCGCGAGCAAGGTGTTTTCAGCAGAGCGAAAACAATTGAGATTGCTCACCAATTTCTTAAGGTATTAAGTTAAGTAACGGTAAATTTTCTTTATCGAGCCTACCTGAAACGAGTACAGGTCGATCTCCCTCAAATCATGCAGCGGAATCATGGGTGCCGTGCGTGCCGCCCAAATAACCTCCGCTGTCCGCGCTGATCGCTGCAACGGGCTGCCCAGAAACAATTAGAAGGGAGAGCAAAGGAAAAGGGGAAGGAGGAGAAGACGAGGCATGAGGTCGTGAAGGGAAGCAGAGCATATGAGGAATTATTGATGTGCGGAAGTGAATGTCAAGGCGAGCATGGGGCTAGTAACCCCCGAAAGCAAGCGAGCGTGGGGCTAGTCACCTGTTGAAGCAAGTGAGCACGGGGCTAGTCACATGTGGAAGCACACATCGAACTAGTCCGCAGCGAGAACGGGGCTAGTAACCCATGGAATAGAGTAAGCATGGGGCTAGTCACCTGTGGAAGCACACATCGAACGAGTCGGCAGCGAGCATCTGCCGGCTCGTCTCCGCTTGGCTCTCGCCCTTCGCGGTCAGCACGGAAAAATCCGAGCTGCCCTGAATTCTGCCCGTCGCATTCCACGTGCTCTCCCCGTGTCGCACCAGCACCACCCGCTTCGCCTCCTTAATCACAGGAAACTCGAACCCTCCCAGGTTCGGTGCGCTCTGCGGCGACAAGCCTGCATCCCGAACCTCGGTCGCAGGTTCGAAAACCGTAGACGCCGTCGCACCTGCCGCTACATTGCCGCCCAAGCTTAGATTCCCTGAAGCTGCGGACGAGGCTCGGCAGATTCCCTTGCGTTGTAGGTTCGGAACCGAACCAGACAGCAGGCTTCTCGGGCCGGCGAGAAGTGTGGTCGTAGGCCCAACCGCCCGACCAGCGACGAAAGTCGTGCGACTCAATGCGACGGACGTGGTTGCTCGCGATGGGATGAGCAGATGCGAGGTACCGAGGAGCGCGCTGCGCGGGTGGGGTGCGACTCCGGATACCGTCGATGACGCTACAGGCGACGGAAGAATGGCGGCTTTTAGGCGCAGCAATGTCGCCATTGTGCGAGACGCGATGGAGAGATACCTCTAGTAAAGCACCGAATTCGTGTGATTGAAGCGGAGAACCGTGCGAAAGGCAACCTGCGGGGGCCGTTTAGTTGGCCTCGGCTGCTGCGGGTGGCAGGCAGCGTAAGGGTGGCAGACGCGCTTCGGGTTCTGCCACACCTAATCCTTCACTGTGCATGTGTTAGGTGGCGCCACTAGTTGGCCATTCGGAACCATGATGAAGGCAGAATGAATGAAAGTCATCGCTCTATAGCGGGTACACCTTGCTGGATTCCCTGAGTCGTGGTGAAGCTTGTTCACAACAATTTGTGCGTAAGTTCTGTTCTTGAAACTTGGCAATGTGCATCAGAATCTATGTCATATGGTTGCACAATACACATCGTACATCTCAGAGTAGCACAAGACGTGCCACACAAATTAGTAGCCCTGCTGAAAATGCACACCCTAAGACCAAACAATCGCCTATAATACGCGGTGACGTAGCTGATTAGTCTCTTCTATCCGGATCCTGTGAATGTCAAATTGGCACACCATGGGCAAAACGGCTTCCAAAATTGTCCCCTCATTTCCCCGCTCGGCTTACTACTCGACGTGAATATCGCATAATACTCCCAGGGTTTTTTCGTCATCGCGTTTATTGCTGTCTCCATGTCTTGTCCATTGGCGACCATAACCGAGGCTGCATTTGTGATGAATGTGTGTAGAATCACCTCGTCCTCGTCGGGGTCTATCGACCACCAAGAGCCGGGGACCTCCATTACAAGCGGCCCCGTTTGCCCGTATTGTGCGTTACGAATCTCCACTTTGCGTACGTTGGATAAACACTTGCTGTTTACATAGAATTTCACAAATGAGACATTCTCGGGGGTCCTGGAGGAGAGGAAGTGACAGAAGGAATAGCCGCAGAGTAGAGAAGGAAAAAAAGTGTTACAATGGGGTGGCAGAGTAGCGATAAAGCAGAACTCTACTAAAATAGAATATGTGCACGTCGATAGAGACGGGAAAACAAACAGAGGAGCAGGAGGAGGGAAGGGGGAGGGAAAGAAGCAGGAGGAGGGAAAATGGGGGAGGGGGAGAAGGGAAGGGGCAAGGGATGGTGGGTTGGGAAGGGAAGAGGTTTTGGGGGTATGCTGAAGGAAAATCGTGTACTTACGTGTATTTGATGATTCGCACGTTTCCAGTGGGCTCGTAACACACGTCGTCGTCGTCATCATAATACCTGCCTTCCCTGACGTCCCCATCCCGTTCACTTTGATCCCGAATCTGGTACTGGCTCGCTTTCACTTTAGTCACACTCGCGTCCGGCGCTATAAAGAGCGCCTCACTCGTCCCTCCCAGCGCATTTCGAATCCTGGGCTGCCTGAAGAATGCGAGAATGGCTTTAAGCTTTCCTCTGGCTGCAGCGCTGGCTGTGTTGTTGCTGCTGAGCCATTGAATGCTGTTCCGAATGCTGCTGAGGCTGTATCCGATAAAGCGGTTGCCTTGAAACGATCTAAAGAAATTGGAAGTTGTATATGTTGTTACTGAAGGTGTGCTGGATACCGTAGATGTAGATCTTGAGGGGGGTCCAGAGGAATGCAATAGAGGCCGCGAGTTGCTGGTCCGAAAGGTGGTGAAGGAGGAGGAATGGGGGGAGGAGGAGGAGGGGGAGGAGGAGGAGGAGGAGGAGGAAGAGGAGGAGGAGGAGAAGGGGAAAGAGGGGTGGAAGGAGGAGGAGGTGGGGTAGGAGGAGGGGGAGGAGGAGGAGGAGGAGGAGGAGGAGGAGGAGGAGGAGGGGGAGGAGGAGGAGGAGGAGGAGGAGGAGGAGGAGGAGGAGGAGGAGGAGGAGGAGGAGGAGGAGGAGGAGGAGGAGGAGGAGGGGGAGGAGGGACGGGAGGTGGAAACTGGAGCAGGCTGGTTACTGGGGGAGGCGTATTTGGACAGGCTGTTGCTGAGAGCGAGGTTGTACCTGTTGGCCTGGGTGAAGAGAAGAGCTGGAGGGAAGCGAGAAGAGAGAAAGTGGAAAGAAGAGAGGGAGTGTTGCGATTGTGAGAGAGGAAGGGACACAGGCTGTTGCTGAGAGCGAGGTTGTATCTGTTGGCCTGGGTGAAGAGAAGAGCTGTAGACGAACGAGAATAGGGGAAGCAGAAAGGGGGAAAGGGGATGAGAGAGTGTGAGCGAGGGAGGGGTGAGAGAGTGTGAGTGAGGGAGGGGGGAGGGAATAGCTGACCGACTGAGTGAGTGAACGAGCGAGTGGGTTAGTGAATGAAAGCCTCTCTTTTCTGGAAAGGAGAGGTGAGGGGGGGACCAGGAGGTCGAACCATACTTGCATAACGCATGTTGCATTTTGCAACAGGGTACGAGGAGTGAGGCGGTGCAAGTCGTGAGGCGGCGCAAGGTGTGAGGGATGGAGCCGCAGCGCTTTAGAACAGGGGCAGAACGGGGAGGCGGGAGGGGGGAGAGAAAGGGAGGGGCGGTGACTGAGGTGGGGTGGAGGAGCGATGGGGTAAGCGCAGCAGAGCACTCACAGTCAATCTTCCCCACGGGAATTGAGCCGTTCAAAACGCCTTGTATGTAATCCAAAAACGGATCGTACGGGGCCGATTGAGCGCTCGTGAGAGTGGGGCACGCGAGGAGGAGCGGGACGAGCAGCGCGAGGAGGAGGCGGGCTGTTGTGGGGTTTAGGAGGCGAGAGAAGGAAAGGGGGGAAGGGAAACGGGAGTTGCTGGTTGTGATGGAGGGAATGGAAGGAGGGGAGTCGAAGGGGGAGCGTAGGAGGGATATCGGGAAAGGCGTTGCAACGAAACAGCAGGTATGATGGAAGAGAAGCGGTGAGAGAAAATTAGAAAGACAATGAGTTGGGGAGGAGAGCACTTCGTTCTTCCGGCTCACGGGAAGCGCCTCGTGAAGCAACTCAGAAGTCGCTCCCTCGGGGCTCGATGTATATTTTGAGTGGACTCAAAACTCAAAAACACGCCTTGTGAGGCAACTCGCCGGTAGTCTCTCCTTCGGAATCAACCGTCGCGCGCTTGGAACTTATAAGTACATCCCGCGGAAAGCCCCGTTTTGAGCCGACGTAGCGCCACGTATGGCTCACCTGACCGATCGCGCAGCATCACGTGCGACTCGAGTCTAGCGGCTCGCAGCTCGCGACTCGCGGCTTGCGGCTTGGCCAAGCTCGCGCCGACTGATAATGGAGTTTTATATAAGCTATAAAAACCGCGATGCTGAAGCGGCACGTCCGTGGCTTCAGTCCAGGCGTGACGTGGCACTGGCACCAACTGCTGACTAACCCGACCTGGTCAACAATATATCCCTGAGAATCATGTTTCTATATCAGGCCGACTTCAGGGTAGGAAGAGCGCGCAGCACTTAGCTGGGGGTAGTGTGTTCTTGATAGGTGCAACAGCATATAGTAGACAGGCTCAGAGAGGGACGGTATTTTCTTGTTTAGGGTGAGATTAGTTATGGATGGAGCGGTGTGGCGTGCGGGTGCGGCTCGTGCTGCCGTTGCTGTTGTGGCTGTTACAGTTGGTGTGCTGGTTGGCTGACCCTAGGTGTGTATGGTGCAGAGCAAGGTAGGTTTGGGGCAGGGGCAAAACGAAAGCTGCTCATAAAACGATACAGTACTCTTGTATATCTTCTCTAAACGGTGCTAAGCGTTTTCACTCGGTACCACTTTCAGTATTGGAAAATGAGGTGGACAGCGAGGGACGATTTGGGCAAGATTGTTTCTGTCGGCCATTGGTGTGGTTCGACGGCTTGGATTTGTGTTCCAGGGCTGGTGAGTTGACGCTCTGCGCGCTTCGGTTCGCGTCGTGCTTGATTATTGGCAGCAGCTCCTGCAAACTGCCCCTTTTGGTTCGGAACCCGCAATACCAAAACCTCTCGTCTCGTGCTTCGGAAATGCGCCACGAAACGAAGGTGAGAGGCATTTTCGGACGACGAATGCGGCTGGAGAAGTCCCAGGTGAATTTCAGATCTGTGTGGTAGGTTTGGCCAGGGGTAACTTACTGCTGCTGGTAGGTTCGGCCAGGAGAATTCCATGACCAAGCCCAAAATTGCAGCTGCCCGAAAGAAGTCAACAACACCTTGACCTTCTCTCAAGTCGCGCACTCGAACATAAGAGCTCCTAGGTGCAGTTCGGTTCATGTATATTTCATTCTTCATGCCGTAATGGAACAAAAACAAGGAGAGCACCACTCACTCTCACCCACACAATCATACTAGCCACATCTAATTGCCAGCGTTAGATCAACCACCCAGTAAAAAATGTCCCTCTACAATACAGCACTGAACATACTGCCACCAAGATAGTGGCAAGAAGCAAAACCTGGTCCAACATATAATCATGACTTTGGGTGAACAAATCCTTCACCCTTAAGTTCATCCAACCATGCTTCACATATTAGGTTCCAGTAAATGTGAAGTTGGCGCACCAAGGGCAGAAGGGCTTCCAGAATTGGCCCCTCATTGCCCCGTTTGGCTTGCTTTTCGTGGTGAAAATAGCATAATAGTTCCACGGCGCCTGAGTCATGGATATAATTGCCTTCTCCAAAGTCTGCCCGTTCGATACAGTCACACTGCTCGCATTGGCAATGAAGGTGTGCTTAACCAGCTCGATTTCATCTTCCTCCCAAAGCCTCCACGAACCCGGGATCTCCATTACAAGCTTCCCCGTTTTCCCGTAGGGCGCGTTTCTGATCTGTACCTTTCTCACATCGGCGAGGCACTCGCTCTTGGCTCGGAGGATCACATAGGAGACGTTCTCAGGGGATCTGCGGATGGGGAGGTGGATGATTTTTGTTTTGAGTCAACACAAAACTCGCTCTTGGCTTGGAGGATCACATAGGAGACGTTCTCAGGGGATCTGCAGGGATGGGCAGAGGTGGTTCAATTGTTGACAGGAAGGGGTGTTGTTCAGTAAGATGAGAATTCACCTCTCATAGGTATCAATAACCAACTTAAATAAGCTGACTCGTTTACTAGCCTAAAAACCAATGTACAGTATGTGCACTCACGTGTATTTGATGATCCGCACTCTTCCTGTTGGCTCCACGCACTCATCCTCGTCATCGTCATCGTCCTCATCATCGTCATCGTCACTCTCAATCCGATACTGCCTCCCACCCCGCGGTCTCTCATCACCTTCCCCACCATCGTCGCTCTGCGTCACAACATCCCCGTAACTCCTCGCCGATTAACCCTGAGTAGAAACCTGACCGTTACTTTGGCTGTCGTTCTGACCTCCAACCTGTTCCCCCGATTTCGGCACCGTCGCAGGGACCGCGTTCTGGGCGGCTGCTAGCTGCGTGATCCCTTCCGCTTCTAGCGCGACCTTTGAGCCGGGCGAAATGAAGAACGCGCAGCGCATGGACCCCAGCGCTTTCGCGAGGCTCGGTTGCCGGAGCAGCTTGAGGATCGAGTTCAGCTTCTTGAGATTTGATTTGATCACGGTCGCGTTGGTGCTGAGCCATTGCACGCTGCTCTGAAGGAGGGCGAGAGAGGGCGTCTTTGATTTGGATGCAGAAAGGATAAGAGAAAGGATGAAGCGTAAGAAAGGGCCCAGGTTGCTGCCGCTTCCGCCGCTGCCCCCGCCACTGCCGCCGCCACTGCCCCCGCCAGTGCCGCCACCAGTGCCCCCGCCAGTGCCGCCACCAGTGCCGCCCGTATCTCCTGTGGTGCTAAAGGCAGCGGCGTTGCGGAAGGAGGATGCGGAGGAGGCGGAATTGGCGCCGGCTTTATTGCTGAGGAACAGGTTGTACTGATTGGCCTGCGTGAACAAGATGGCTGCAGGGGGGATGGGGGGAACAGGGGGAGGGGGGGGAGTGGGGGAGGCGGAATTGGCGCCGGCTTTATTGCTGAGGTACAGGATGTATTGATTGACCTGCGTGAACAAGATGGCTGCAGGGCGGAGGGGAAAAGACAGCGAGGAACATGGTGGATCGAAAAGGTTTAGAAGGGGAGATGTGGGATGGACGAAGGAAGTGAAGGGGGAAAGAGGATATGGAGCAGGTAAATAGAAATTAAAAATGATAAGGGGCCAATAGTGGGCAATAATTTCCTGAAGTAGAAGATTAAAAAAAAAAAAAACGAATCACTGATTGCCCCAGTTTGCGGGGTCTTGTCGCTTACAGTCAATCTTGCCGAGCGGCGTGGACCCGTTAAGAACGCTTTCGATTTGGTCGAGAAATGAGTCGTACGTCGTCTGCGTGTGTGAATGCGAGGCCAGCGACAAGAGGAGGACGGCCAGGAGGATCGGCCGAGCGAAGCGTGGCGATCCCATGGGCGAGCGTCGAGAGGGAGATGGTACGGCTGGGAGGAAATAGTGTCGGTCGTGTATTAGTATAATGGGAGGGACGCGGTGCGGTGCGGCGCCCTGTTGAGCGAAGTCGATGCGGTGCAATTGAGTCGAAATAAAATATTCTAGGATTTTGGCAGCGACTATGTCAAATTAAGGGAAACGACGTACACGAAATGAAGCACCGTACTGAAAACCTCATGATGCAGGCAACTAAGCTCTAGTGTCGACATTTGAGTCGACGCGAATAGTGTGTTAGACATTTTGTAGACCAGACTTCTCAAGTTCTTGAGCACGGGTGGGCACTTCCCAGCCCAGCATTTTCGTTGGGGCGGTGAAAAGCGTGGAAAGGGGAGGGGGGAGGAAAGAAGGGGAGGAGAGGGGAGGTCGAGAGAGGATGAAAGGTCGGTCTGCCGCCGCCACTCACACTGGACAGTTCGCTCCCTGTGCGGGTCAGACCTTGTGGAGAAAGATTACAGCTGATGTTTGAGCCCCTCCCGGTTGCCTTATGAAGGGGGCGTATAAGCTGTCACGAGCATTTCGCATAAGTTTCGTCAATTCGCAGCTAGCTAAAAAGGATTCGCATGTGCTTATAAACAAGATCTGTTACCTCGTTTGACTTCAGTCTCTTCTGCTTGACTTCGGTATGTTCGTTACTATTGGTTGATAACCACGCGACGCGCTTGTAATGTAGGTGCATGAAGCTGGGGAAACAACCTCGGGTGCAGCGTATCCATCCGGCGCAAGGCAAATTCGCGTGCATGGTGTGAGCATCAGCTGTACAGCGAGCGGAGGGGCTGCATGTGACTATAACGCTTTGACCTTTGGGCGGCACGGCCATGTGAGTTCATGTGAGTGGCCCACGCCTGCTGCTGCAGCCAACCTTGTTTGGCAAACGAAACCACAGCCCTTCGATTGCCAATGTAACCGCCGCGCCACCATCCGCAGCAGCGACGGTCGCAACGCAACAGAATGCAAAGCAGTTAAAGCGGCAGTATACAATTGTCAGTGGGGTTTGTTAGTGGCCCTTACAGTTTTGGGGCAACTTTTCAAGTTCCTAAGGATTTTGAACCCCTCCTTTCAAATGTATACCGGAGCTTTAATCCGCGGATGGGCAAAAGGTTGGGCCCCTCGAGGTTGCCCAGGCGAGACGGCTGAAGGTATTGTCTACAGTTAAGACGGTTTATAGCGTTTCAGAGCGGTAACGATATCAAGAAGCTGTGTTCGAGCCAGCGCAATTGTGCGGGGACTGTCTGGGGACTGTCTGGGGGACGGAAAGAGGGGAGGGGACTGCCTGGGGACCAGGTGTGGGTTCGGAGCGGAGTGGCTGGTCAGGACTCGGGGGGTTTTTGAGGGGAGGCTTTCTGAGAGGCTCGGCGGCACGCCGCGATGTGACTCGTCTGTTTGATTGGGTAACAAGCCCCCTCTCTCTCGGGAGGCTGAGGTGGCAGCGTGAATGTGGAACCAATTTTGACGTCAAGTGCCTAACGACTAACACTCTCCCTCTTTCGCCTCGCTGGAGTTCGAGAAGATCCGTGGATTCATGATCCGGAGGCGCAAGTCGGCGGAACACGATTCGCAGCTTGCCAAACAAGGGTAGATATGCGGTGAAGTGAGGTGAACGTCGTAAGTCGCGGACTATGGGAGTGCACAACACATACAGACCTTGTTATTCCTTCCTATTTCATAAAATGGTCTAAGATTCCCCATCGGCACAACCGTACATGTCAACATCCCCAAAATCTATACAGCCCTAACAGTAGCCACCAAGACAGTGGCCACTTATTTCTACAAGCCGAACTGATATGTGGAAATGATTCCACATATCAGCGCAGCCATGCCCTCCATACTGCACCACCATGGATTCGACATTACACATGATCCTAGACCCTAGGTTCCTGTGAACGTGAAGTTCCCACACCAAGGGCAAAACGGCTTCCAGAGCTGGCCCCTTATTGCCCCATTCTTCTTGCTTCCTGTGGTAAAAATAGCATAGTAGTTCCACGGCGCCTTAGTCATGGAAATAACCGCCTTCTCCAAAGTCTGCCCATTTGCAACTATCACGCTGCTTGCATTGACGATGAAGGTGTGCTTAACCAGCTCAATTTCTTCATCATCTACAAGCCGCCACGAACCCGGAATCTCCAGTACAAGACTCCCCGTTTTTCCATAAGGAGCATTGCGGATCTGTACCTTGCGCACGTCAGCTAAGCACTTGCTCTTGGCTCGGAGGAGCACATATGAGACGTTCTCGGGGGAGCTGCACGGATGGTTGAGTCAGCAGATGGGCATGTAAGATGAAGAGTATAGATTATCTTGTAATTTGAAGGGATGAAGATCTCTGGAATGTCAACGACTGGGAAAGTCACGATGACTAAAAAATGCAACCACTGAATGCGACGAACCGTGTATTTATTGAGCTCACATATATGTACTTATTATTCTGGGCACTCACGTGTATTTGATGATTCGCACTCTCCCAGTCGGCTCGATGCATTCAGGCTCGTCATCGTCCTCCTCGTCGTCATCGTCGCATTCGATGCGATACTGTCGCCCGCCTCGGCATCTCCGCGACTCGTCGTCATCGTCGTCGTCGCGCAGCACCCCAACAGTGCCGGAACTCATCATCGCAAAACTCTGACCGTAACTCTGCCCGGAAACTTGCGCCGGTGCCGTCGGTACAGTGCTTGGGACTGTAGCTTGCGCGGCCGTAAGGTTTGTAATACCTTCCGCCTCCAACGTAACATTCGCATCCGAGGGTATGAAAAAAGCGGACTGCTTTTTTCCCAGAGCCTTATCGAGGCTTGGCTGTCCCAACAGCTTAAGTAGAAAGTTCAGCTTAGCCCGGTTCGATTTGCTGGCAGCCGCGCTGCTGCTAAGCCATTGCACGCCGCTCTGGAAGGTGGACAGCGGCGGAACCGGTTTGGGAAACCCTGATGTTGTCGCGCTGGTGGAGCGGACGCCGAAGAAACTACGAAAGACACGCGAGAGAAGCCCAGTGATGCTGCCGGTATCGCTGCTACCGCCGCTACCGCCGCTGCCACTGTCAATGCCCGGGTCTGAAGCGGCAGAGCTGGGGAGCGAGTTGCTGCCGCGGAAGGAAGATCTGGGGGAGACGGATTTGGTGCCGGCTTTATTGCTGCGAGCCAGGTTGTACTGATTGGCTTGCGTGAACAGCATGGCTGCAGGGCAGGAAAGGACGGGGAGTGGGGATGTAAGGATTAAAGCGGGAGCGAGAAGATGGAGAGCACAGGGGGCGAGAGGATACAGGAGCGGATCGTGAACGACACAGAGACTGGACGGACCAAAAGTTCGTGAGTGGGTTGCCTCATCCGGTACAAACACTTACAGTCAATCTTGCCGAGGGGCTTGGAACCGTTAAGAACGCTCTCGATGCTGTCCAGGAACTCGTCGTAAGTCGTCTGCGTGTGTGAATGCGCGGCCAGCGACAAGAGGAGGATGGCCAGGAGGACCGGCCGAGCTGCCACGTGGCACATTGGGTCGATGGAAAGCGAAGGAGCGGGAGGGAAAATGTTTGGATACGCGAAACAAAGGAGGAAATCTAAGGGAAAAATGGATGCGACGTGGCGTGCGAGCAGCATGGCGTGGGCATATCAAGTATTTTCGCACTTCGAGCGACGGAATGAACGCTCACCCGGCCGCGGAAGCTCCATCAGCAGGAGAGGAGATGCCAAGTAAAAATATCTCCCTAAGCAGGAGGTTTCTGATTATCTAGCCTAACAAACGGAATCGATGGATTCTAAAACACAGAAAGTAGCTCAGGCCGACATCTTGACGGAAAGGAATGACTACGAAGCTCGGAGGCTACGCCATGAAAGCGTATCTTTCTAGTCTGGCTTGCATGCAGATCCCTGGGGAACTACTTGCTCTGGCTAGCAAATACTCGCTCCCATCTGTTCACACGCATCAGTCAGCCACCAACCCGGAGAAAACAGTGAGGTCAATGTGCGCGCCTGTGGTTGCTTCTGCTCGGTTTCGTTTGGTTTAGTTCGGTCTGGAGTCCAGACCCTAAGGTCCGGTCCGATATGTGCTGGCTAGGTTTCTCACAGAGAGCAATTTCGTCCAGGGGTGGGTGATGGTGTCGTGCTGAGGTGAATCCCCTCCCCCCCAACCCATCTGCTGCTCACACACCACCAGAGCGGGAGGCTTGGCTGGTTGTTCCCTCTCCTTTCCTCGCCTCCGCACTACACCTGGTGAGGTGAGGCGATGTTGTTGCGTTGTGTGACTTGGCGGATGGCGGCTGCTCCGCCAGGTTGTAGAAATCTGGGCCGCCCAAGAGGGCGCGTTTCCGGAGGATGCAAACCGGTTCAACGGTCTTTATGCAGGTGATTGCGCAGACGGGGAGGAGCCACATGAGAAAACGGGGCAGAACGGAGAGCAGAGAGACGAAAAAATTTTGGTTCGAAAGACCAGTCGATGTGGGGCACCTGCTAATATGGGGATTGATCATATTGGGGCCTCGGATTAGCAGAAAGATGGCCAACTTGGGGCTTCGTGAGTCGCGAGCCTACGATGAAGGCCCGAAGCAACCCACAAGCCTAGGCAGCTAGGCCGAGCTCGCCAGGTCACCACCTGCTGGCTTGGGTTTGACGGATTTCGCTAGCACCCTGGTTGACGGGAGCAACGATCGTCAGCCGAATCACAATGGGCAGTACGGATACTTCAGCAAAATAACCTAGAAATAAACATTTTAGCCCAAAAATGTTATCGCAGTGGTCAAAATAATAAAACTCAATCGTATGGCGTAAAATTGAGGAGGCATCAACCCTAAACACATGCGACAAGGTGTTTAGGGTTGATGCCTCCCTGACCGGATGCATGCCCGTCTGGGGTTTATTTTTTTTGCCAGCTTGTCCGTTCAGAAATCCGTCACCTTGTGTGGTAAGGTCTGACGGAGCGCGTGGGTAAGGCCCGCAACTGGTTAGTGACAGGTCCGGACCAGGTTCGACACTTCGCGATACACGAGGCCCCAAGTCGGCTCTATTTATAGAGCTTTGGGGCCCCAATCTGATCATTTCCATGCTAATATTGCTTTCGCGGTTGAGGTTGCCGAAGCGCACATTTGGGCAGGTTGGGGAAATGTCCCTTCAGGAAAACATTCTTGCGGGACTCTGCCCTTCAAAACATTTTTTACGTTGTTTGTCCCAGCCCAGGGTGCTCGATTCAGGTGCTTGCCCACGCAGTAGCGGGTTTGCGTTCCGAACCACAAGGCGCTGGGCCAGCGTTGTTGACCTTCACCGAGCCTACCCTCACTCACACAGGCTGCGAGGTCCACTCATCCAGGCCGTTCGAGGGCTGACGAACGGCCACGATATTGAAGAAAGCCCTGGAAGTGCAGACCTGTCGGTGGCGCACTCGCGGATAACGACAAAAGCTGTGCAAAATTATATCAGGAATTTGTACGGGCTCTGAAAACTTAAATACCCGCTAGTGAACTATTTCATTGAGAGAGAAAGTGCAAAGCTGTACAAGAGCGTAGTCCCAGTTCATCAAGAAGCTAGTATAATACGATACTAAAAAAACTACCATAATACGATATTCATATTCTTTACCATATGAACACTGCTATATAGGATTCCTATAGTACGTTTCTGCTTCTCCAGTTCACATACCAGCATAATAGCCCCACCAGTCAAATATATGAAATATTTGTCTGAAATATGTGAACATGGTGTAATATAGTTGGAGGAATACGGGGATCACTTATGCATTTTTGCGGAAAATCAAACCACATCGTGGAGCATTCTGACCCACAAGAAGCCGCTTCGGTGGCAGCAACCTCAAGGGCTGCCATGCACTGTCGTCACCTGCTGGTGGACACAACACACACGAGTTCAGCTCATTGCTTAGGGCGTGCTAAGTCGCAAAGTGCACAATATTAGGGAAATTCCGTCGGGCCGTTTATGCGAAGGTAACCAGTTTGCGACAGTCGTAAGTCAAGTGACGATAGTCGTTAATGTCGCAAAAAAATAACGAATTTGATGGCGCAGTGTGCGACAATCGCCTGCGACGTCGCACGGCGTCGCCCAACGACAGAATTTGTGATCGCGTCAAATGAGAAATATCGCCGTCTAAAGTACGACGTCGTCGCACATAAACAACTACTGTAGTAACTGCAAATTTAACAACTTTTCCGAACCAGCCTGCAATTCGGCCACCAAAGTTGTTAAAACCCGCGGGCCAAGAAGTTCAACCTTAGGAAGGTTGGTTGGGGCCAAATTTGCTATTGGCCCGCGAAGGGACTGAATAGTCGAAAAGTTGGGAAGATGTTCGCGTACATGACCAACCTCGCCAAAGTAACCTGATAGAGAATGCGACCGGAACACCTCCACACATCAATCGCACAAACGCACGCGCGACATATCACAACAACCCATCGCACACTTCAGAGTGTCACGCCTCATCGGCACGTTGATAAGGAGCCTAGTAAGCCGCGCGCTGGTATCTTTGCAGCGTAGCTCCTTGTGAATTTACTGAACCACCGTCACGTAACATTGCAACGACCCATGACTCCTCGGCAAATAGATATCAAAATCTCGTGACAAAGAAGAAGATAGAGATACTTCCCGCGTCTAAACCTATAGGTGCGGATTCCCTAAAAAAAGTGAATCACACCGCGGTTAGGGTTTGCTCGTGCCGCCCTTTCCTTACGGCGCGGTTCCCCTTTCCTCCCGCCACAATCCCCCCTTCCTCACGCCACGCTTCCCCATCCCGCGCCCGTCGCGCTGCTATTTCCTCCCGTCCATTCCCCCACTCCCCACACGCCAATCCTCCCTTTCACCACGGCGATGCTCTTCACTTCCCCCTCCCGTCGCCTTCATTTCCCCCTCCCGTCGCCTTCACTTCCCCCTCCCGTCGCCTTCACTTCCCCTCCCGTCGCCTTCACTTCCCCCTCCCGTCGCCTTCACTTCCCCCTCCCGTCGCCTTCACTTCCCCCTCCCGTCGCCTTCACTTCCCCCTCCCGTCGCCTTCCCTTTCCCCTCCCGTCGCCTTCACTTCCCCCTCCCGTCGCCTTCACTTCCCCCTCCCGTCGCCTTCCCTTCCCCCTCCCGTCGCCTTCCCTTCCCCTCCCGTCGCCTTCACTTCCCCCTCCCGTCGCCTTCACTTCCCCCTCCCGTCGCCTTCCCTTCCCTCTCCCATCGCCCTCGCTCCCCCCTCCCATCGCCCTCTCTTCCCCGGCTCACCTTGTTTCGCCTGCTCCTTCGCTTCCCCCGGCTCACTCTGTCCACCTCCACTGCTCCTTCTCACCCCCCTCTCCCCCCAAATCCCCTACCCACTCTTCCTCAAGTTGTTGGTTCACTTGCGCCAACGCCTCCAGCACCAATGCTCCCCTTTTTCCCACTCCCACCATCGCCTTTCCACCCCCCCTCCCCCCCTTCTCCTGCAGTCGCTGGTTCACTTGCGCCATTTGTGAGTGTGGGGCAGCAGCATCACCAGCGCCTCTGCCTCGCTGCTCCTCGCCTTCCCCCGCCAGCTCTCCGCCAACCTCGCCTGGACCGCCCTCTCCCACCACTCGTCCCCCCTCCCTCACCGCCCTGCACCTCTCCCACTGCCCCCCTCCTTACCATTCGCTTCCCTCTCCCTCCGCCTCATCTCCTTCCTCCTCTCACTCCTCCTCCTCTTCCTCCTCTCCCCTCACTCATCTCGTTCTCTCTGGTGCCTCAATCGCTCCTCCCTCCTCGCCTCCTCGCCTCCTCGCCTCCTCGCCTCCTCGCCTCCTCGCCTCCTCGCCTCCTCGCCTCCTCGCCTCCTCGCCTCCTCGCCTCCTCGCCTCCTCGCCTCCTCGCCTCTCACCTCCTCACCTCCTCGCCTCCTCGCCTCCTCACCTCCTCACCTCCTCACCTCCTCACCTCCTCGCCTCCTCGCCTCCTCGCCTCCTCGCCTCCTCGCCTCCTCGCCTCCTCGCCTCCTCGCCTCCTCGCCTCCTCGCCTCCTCGCCTCCTCGCCTCCTCGCCTCCTCGCCTCCTCGCCTCCTCGCCTCCTCGCCTCCTCGCCTCCTCGCCTCCTCGCCTCCTCGCCTCCTCGCCTCCTCGCCTCCTCGCCTCCTCGCCTCCTCGCCTCCTCGCCTCCTCGCCTCCTCGCCTCCTCACCTCCTCGCCTCCTCGCCCTC